AATGCCTTAGGATTTTTATCTAAGATACTACTATGATAAGTCCATTCACCATCCTCTGGTATCTCAATTGATTTTTTCACTTAACACATTCTTTGTTTCCTTTTTCTGCGTTAAACTGTGTGAGTTTCTGTTTGCAGCCATTTATTCTTGTTGACCAACTACTTCCTTTAAATTCTTCCACTAGTTCTCAGAAGTGAAATCTACTGTTTCTCTTCCTGCCTGAAAACTGTTTTTCCATGTCCTTGGCTCCTTTACTTTCTGTGATTAAACACAGGTATCCCTCCAGGACCAACTTTCTCCTCAAGGCCCTCACCCATGCTAACCTGTGCACTTGGGTCCTAAGGCTTGATCCTTAGACCAGATCCTCAGGCCATCACTTGAATGTACTACTTTCAGAAAAAAAACTGAAGTAGTTATTACAGCACAAAAAAAAGAACTTTGTTGCACTTCCTTGCCCTACTTTTGTAGCTTAGTTTTTCTTTTTTTAATATTTTATTTTATATAATTCTTACATCATTTTTCATTTTTGCACAATGTATGCATTTTCATTTTGGTTATATTCCCCATACAATTGCACCCCCCCTTATTTTGACCCTAATCCTTCCTCTTCCCACCCCCCTCCCCGCCATAGTGTGTCTCTCGCTTATAGTTGCTTGTTGATTTTGATTTTTACTTTGTATTAATTAGTCTTTTTCCTGGTACCTTATTTAAGTTTTCTGAATTCCTGCTATGAGTGAGACATCTGGTATTTTTCTTTTTCTTTCTGACTTATTTCGCTGAGCATTATCCCTTCTAGCTCCATCCATGTTGCTGCAAAATGCATGTGTTTACTTCTTTGATTGCTGAGTAATATTCCATTGTGTATATGCACCACATCTTCTTGATCCAGTCATCTATTTTTGGGCATTTAGGTTGTTTCCATAGCTTAGCTATTGTAAATAGTGCTGCTATAAACATAGGGATGCAGGTGCCCTTTGAAGACTGGGAGAAAATTTTTGCACACAACACTAATGATAAATGACTGATCACAAAAATCTACAAAGAGCTGATGAGACTCAACAAAAACAAAGAAAATAATCCAGTCAATAAATGGGCAGAAGAGTTAAAAAGAAACTTCTCCAAAGAGGAAATGCAAATGGCCAACAGGCATATGAAAAAATGTTCAACATCACTTGTAATCAGGGAAATGTGAATCAAAACTACAATGAGATACCATCTTACACCAGTGAGAATGGCACATATTAAAAAAACTAGCAACAACAAATGTTGGCGAGGTTGTGGAGAAAAAGGAACTCTCCTGCAGTGCTGGTGGGAGTGCAAACTGGTCCAACCAGTATGGAAAGCTGTGTGGAGATTCCTCAACCTACTAAAGATAGAGTTTCCTTATGATCCAGCAATTCCACTCCTAGGTAGTTACATTTTTATTTCTAACTGTATATGGGGACACAACCGGTATTGAGCACCTGGGGCTCTATGTAGCTTACAGTAGTGGACTCCAGCCTCAGCCAGGGCCTCCTCTTCCAAATACCCACTCCATGGACCCCTTTATCTTCTCCTGCTCTTCTATTTTTTTCTTTATTTTCCCAAGGTTATGGATTGATAATTTCACTTTTCAAAAGAAATCTTGTCCTTTCAACATTTTAAATATCCAGATTCTTGCTATAATGCCCTTGAGTGAGTGAAGGATGTTTATGCTAAGCCCTCCTCCCACCCCGATTCTGCTTATTTTTCAGACATTTCTTTCCTCTGAAGGATTCACCAATTTCACATAAAGATGTTGAATTATTGGGCCTCCCTGGTGGAGCAGCAGGTTGAGCACAGCACTGTGAAACTGTCCACAGCCTCTGCAGAGCGGGTTCAATCCCAGACAGCCGCGGAGATACCCACATGGTGCAGCAGACCTCTCGTGTCTTGCCCGCTGCTCCCCTCAGCAGTGTATTTCAGTCAGTCTGCCTGTTCTGTTCCCCGCTCTGACTCTGGTGAATCCTCTCACCCTCGCGCTCATTAGGTCTGTACTACGGTTCTTGTATGCATGAATAAATAAATCTTTAAAAAAAAAAGATGTTGAATTATTTCCTTTGATTTATTCTTCAAATATAATGAGATTAAAATAATTATTTATAATATAATCTGTTTCTCTTTTTATAACACCTGGGATTTCCTTTTTCAAAGCCAGTTCTAATTCTCTAGTTCTTTTGCTCTCATAGATGTGCTAAGGAGCACTGAGGGATTTTTTCTATTTCCTATCAAGAAACTGCTGAAGTACATTTCAGTAGCAACAGACTGGCTTGGTCAACTATTTTTTGACTGTTTTACTAACTCTCCTGTGACCATATTTTCAAACCCAAGATGCTCTCTTGGCTTTGTGCACAGAAATTCCTTCTCCTTCTCCTTGCAGATCTTTCTACCAAGAGCCATACAAATACTCTGAGCTCTAGTATCAAAGGCTTATGGCTGACTATCCATTTCCTCTCAATCAAAGTATTTTGTTTTTCAAGGAAAAGTGATTAGCACCCATGGAACAAAAGGAGAGATGAGAGGTAAGGAAATAATAGAAAATTATTGAAATATTTGTTTCTCGAGGGGCAAGGACTCTTAAATACCTCCAAGTAGAGGTAGAAAAGAATAAGATGAAAAAGATAGTAGAACTGTTAGCTCGGAGAGGAAGATGATACCCATAACTGGAAGAGCTGAGGAAAAAGAGCAACGGTAGAGATGTGAATGAAGAGGACACGAAGAGAGTAGTTGAGAGGAAAGCCACACAGCCCAGCTGATAGGGGGCAAAATGGCCATGTGATGGACCCAGTCCACCAGGTCCTGGCATTTGTCCAGTTACTTTTTGGACCCAGGGTTGAATACTGTAGTGAGTAGAGAAGCAGATCTAGATCAGTAATGGAATCAAAGAATCACACCTAACTGCTCTTTCTCTCACCTTTGATCAAGTCTGTTGAGTCATGATTTGTACACCCAGGTGCTTGGAGTTCCCCACTTATCCATTGTCTCCAGGTACAAGACTGCAGGCAACTCCTGGGTACAATCTGTGCATCTTTTTGCTTTGAGGTATTCCTGCAAGTCCTGGTAGAAGCCTCTGTGTCCACACTAAGCGCTGTTCTCCTCATGTAACAGTTACTTAGTGGAAATAAGTTAGACACAGGTCCATAGGTGCACTCAGGACATCTGAGAACCATCAGTAATGAACAAAGTGCCTGACTTCCAGGGAATAACTTAAGCACTGGAGAGAAAAGAACCTAATATAAATTCATTAATTGTGAAAAAAAAAATAAAACCCTGTCCAGATACCATCTTAGACGACTCTGTGTAATTCACATTCGGTTTAGTCTCATAGTTTGAGAAGAATGAGCAATTGAGCTGACTCAAGGAGGACTCAGAGATGTGGTTTTAAAGACTTGGAATGTTTCATGACTCAAGTTCTCATTCAGCTTCCTTACAAGGTTCCAGAATAAAAGGAGTTGTTAGGCATCGGGCAGCAATGAAGGTGTGGTTAAGGGTCCTTCCTCAGGAAAAGCAAACATTGCTGCTAAGGAAAATTGAATCTGTCCCCAAGAATATAGGTTCAAGTTCTAAACCCCAGTACTTGAGAAAGTCACCTTATTTGGAAATAGAATCATTGTAGATATAATCAATTCAAGATGAGGTCATGCTGGAATAAGGTGGACCATTATCTAATATGTCTGGTGTTCTTATAAGAAGAGGAGAAAAGACACAGCCACACATACAAAATGGAGAATTTCACTTGAAGACAGAGACACCTGGGGAGAATTCTGGTGACAATGGGCATCAATTAGAGTGTTATATCTAAAGCCAAGGGAACACAGGAAGGGAAGAGACCGGTATGGAACAGTCCCTTTTAGAATTTTAGAAAGAACGTGGCACTGTCAACATCTTTATTTTGGACTTTTAGCCTTTGGAACCATGGGAGAATAAATTTAGTTATTTGTGGTAATTTGTTATAGGAGGAAATTCATATAGCTGCCCTGGAGCTGGAGCCACAGACACCTGTCTCTCACAATATCAGCCCCTCCTGGCCCCCAAACTCAGACCACAGACACAAACTCCAGACCATGCCTGTACCTCTGTGTGTGTGTGTGAGTGTGTGTGTGTGTGTGTGTGTGTGTGTGTTTGGAGGGGAATGTAAGATGTATGTTGAACCCTTACACTCTTTCCTACATATGGTCTGAGCTCAAGAACCTCTAGTTTAGTTTTTCTACCACATAGCCCCCTCTCTAATTCTTTCTAACCCCTTCTTCTAGGAGACTTCTAGAAATGGCTCCCGTCACTCTCCAGCCCTGGTAAGGTAAGGCTGGAATCACGTGACACATGTTTCTAATGAAGGGCCTGCCCCACTGAGCTGAGTCTCTTAACCACACAGCCTCTGACTGACCTGATGTTTGGTGCCGTCTCCTGGCTACTGAGCATGTACTTTCGACCTCAAAGTGGTCCTCTGAGGACAGAAAGATGCCCAGGCAGGCTCTCTAGTATATAATTGCCTATCCTAACTCCCTGCCCACCCCAACTAAGCCCCACTCTGGAGCCCAAGAAACCCTTCTTTGTCACCCAAATCAGTTATGGCGGCAGGCCCAACGATGCCAGATTTTGTCATACAACTGTCCTTGGCAAAAGTGAGAGCTAACTCTAGAATAAAGGTTTGAAACCCAAATCTAAATACCAATTGTTAGGCACTCACCACAAGGTAACTCAGTAGAAGACACAGATCACTTAAGTCTGCATAATTCATGGCACGTACTGAGAACAATGCCAGCTTGAATGGGCCATGCCACTTGTGGCCTCGGGCCACTGGCCATCTGTCCACACAGGCTGTGCTGAGCTACCCCAAGCTGGAGGGGACTAGTCATCCTCCACCTGCAGCCATTCTGGGTGAGTAGTTCCAGCATAGCCCTAGGACCCCTGGGGAATGGAAGGGCAGATGGCATCCTCCCTTCCAATTATAGGATCTGACAGGTTGATCTACCTGAGCTTACCTGCACTGCCCGTGTTCCTTGTCACACTCTGGGGTGGCAGCACCAATGGTACCCCTTCTGGAACAGTTGCAGCCTTTGCAGCCAGCCAGGGGGTGGAAGCTGAAGGAATGCACCTCACAAGTCTCACACCGGGGCCTGATGGTGCGGGGAGGGCAGAGGCACTTCCCTGTCATTTCCTCACACAGGCGCCCACCACAGTTGCATGCTGGCCAAGGAATAAAGAGATACACAAAGGGTTATAAGCCACCTGACTTCCAGGAGACGAGCACCCACTGCCAGGATTTCCAGAAGCTTCCAAAGAGGTCTGGGAGAAAGATCTCACTTTCCACTCACTATAGCATTAGTGATATGGTTGATCCAGTAGAAGCTTTCTTGGTGACAAGACAAATGTCCATGGCAGGCATGCTAAGGGAACTCTGGGGCCCAGCTGGGCCCACGGCCCAAACCTCTGTTTTGTAAGACACCCCAAGGGATATAAAAAAGGCTGTTTTTTAATGTCTGCTTTGTCCAGGTACCAACTCAAATGATTCACTCTACCATTGGGAAACGACCTAGTGGTTTTCATGGAGTTAAACCTAAAGGAAATATGAGGGAAAATTTCTCCCTCTATTTTCGAGTTCAGAGACAGCCTGCATCAGATGCATCATGCACATTTGCTCACAGGCTCCAGGCTCCACATCAATACAGTGCACTGAGCTGGGGTCAGGAAGGATGCAGCACCAGGTTCTCCCTAGGAGGCTGAGGCTGATCTCTGTGGAGGACTGTTTGCCACACACCCCTTACTGCCACCACATGACCTGGGCTGATGCTTTGTCTTAGGTAACAGGATGGTTCTTAAAGATTTAAGGACTTCTTGTTCAGGAAGCAGTATGCCCGTGTGACCATTGCTCTCCTCCCATCTCAACCGAGTTCTGCTTAGGTTGCAAAGACTGAAGGTCTTCTGCAAGGAAGAGGATTGAGCTGTCCAATATTTTGATGCTTATGGCTATGAACACTCAACTGCTTTGCCAAATGCATGAGTTGCATAGCATGAAAAACACAAATGTTTATCTCTAGAACCTTACTAATCAGTGTGGTCCCTGGACCACCAACATGGGCATCATCTGGGTGTTTATTAGAAATGCAGACTCCCAGGTCCAAGCCCAGGCCTCCTGATTTAGAGCCCGAATTTTCATAAGATCCTCTGGTAAATCTTCAGCACAGTGAGGTTTGAGAAGCCTTGCCCTAGATGAGCATCATCTCCTGGGCCCAGAGGTGCCTCTAATAATGCGAAAGTGCACTTACGCTTGCAGTGCGGGAATCCATAGTAGCCAGTTCGACAGCGGGTGCATTGTCTCCCGATGACACTGGGCCGGCATGGGCACTGCCCGCCCTCAGGGCTGCAGTGATGACCAATGGTGCCAGTGGGGTGGCACTCACAGGGCAGTGCGCCCTTGTGGTAAAGAGCCACCAGGGACCTGGCTGAATTCTTGCAGAATTGGGAGTCTGTCTGAGGGCTGTGGAGATAGAAACAGCACAGTGTCACCCTGGCAGATGTGCCCAGAAAAGGTCCCAACCTTTCTCTGCCTACTTGCCCCACCAAGCAGTGTTGAGGGTGGGAGAGACTCTGAGTCTGGAGTCTGGAAAGAAGCCCTTCCATCCCCCCATCTACTCCAGAACACTTCACAGGACTGATAGGTAGCAACATTTTGTGGCGGGAATAAAAGGGTGAAAATTCACCTATAGGATGATTTGTATGGTATGTGGATTAAATCTCAATAAATTAGTTTAAAAAAGAATATTCAGTATATAAGTGTAATAATATACCACCAACAATAATGAGGAGGCAAATTACTACCATGCATTGCATGTTGTTTGCTAGAAGCTTCGTCTACGTATTGCACAACCATAACCCCACAAGCACCCAACCAATTAGGCCTAAGCAGCATTTCATAGATAAGGCTACTATGCTTCTGGATGTTAAGGACATTTTCAAGGTCATAGAGCTATGTAGAGAAGCAAAACCTCAGCTGTTTAACTTCAGGGACTTCAGTCAATATTTTCTAAATTGGAGGCTCCTACCTACCAGGGTCCCCTGGAGCTCCTCGGCTCCTCAGAAACCTACAAGGGGGCAATTTGGGTCTTCAGAAGAGAATGTCAGAAGCCAATACTCAGGGCTGTCCTAAGCTCCTGGCATTCAGGGACCTGAGGAAAGAGGATGTGTAGGTCCATGTCTCTGTGACTCTCCTCACTTAATCAGATGGCGAAGAATATTGAGAATCAGGGCTAACATACTTCTCCAGTGGACAGAACCCTGTTTAGTGTCTTGTAGGAATCTCAGTTGGTCAACAGAAAGCAGCTAAGAAGAAGATAACTTCCTCAGCAACCTGTGGGTCCTACCTTTATAGGTATAACTCAGTTATGAAGATTGAGGAGGACAATCTTACCCAGAGGTCTTCTGGGGAACACGTGTATCCTGGGAAGGACATCTCCCTCCCCAAACCTGGGATTCACTGCCACTCCTTTCGGTGCCCAGAAAAAGAAGACAGACCCAACACCAGCCCCTCCCCGGGCCTTGCTGGGACAGGACTATGGGAAAGCCTCTTGCATTCCAGGGCCTTCCCACAAAGTGATACTTACTCAATGTAAAAACTGTTTCCTCCACAATTGTCAATAAATTCGAATGATTTGTCTACTGTTTTTTTGTGAAGTATCTGGTAGTCATAATTTTCAGCAGGCACCACTAGAACACGGACCTAAAGGAAACCCATCAGCATGCCTTAGCATTTCCAACAACAGGTCACACCACACCCACAACTATGCACTATACTCAATCTTCATTAAGTTCGATGTTCCTTATTGTTAAGCCCAAAAGCAAATGAAACAGGATTTATGAACAAACAATTATGAGAACAGCCTTCAGTAAGAATTAAAGGCTCACCCAGTGTTCCTGTTTGGGAGACAGCAATGAGTACAGATCCCTTGGGGCAGTTGCCCAGAGAAGCAGTAGTCTGAGGTGCTGAGGGGGACAGGAGCCCCAGAGGTATGCAAGGGCCAGTTAGGACAGCCAGAGTCCCATGTGATGCCTGTCCGAGGTACCTCTGGGGCTCCAGAAGCTACTGTTTTACATTTTTAATGGTGAACAAACTGAAAAGGCAGGACCAATGTGGAAACTCGCGATGTCACTTGCCCCTGAAGTCTGTATCCCAACTAATGCTCTCTCATGATTAATTGTAGCTTGTCTTTAAAAGCTCTCTTGGGCCTCTCTGGTGGTGCAAGGAGTTGAGCACAGTACTATGAGCTGTCTGAGGCCTCTTCAGCATGAGTTTGATCCTCAGCCAGCCAGGGAGCTACTCACTTGGCACGGCAGACCTCTCCTGTCCTGCCCGCTGCTCCCCTCAGCAGTGTACTTCAATAATCTGCCTGTTCTGTTCCCCACTTTTTCTCTGGTGAATCCTCTCACCCCCCACACCTCTGACTTTCACCCCAGTTCTTGTACGCATAAACTAAATAAATCTTAAAAAAAAAAAAAGTTCTCTAGTTCACTGGAGCCACAGAAATTAGCTAATGCCAGTAGTAAATGTGCCAGGGAATGTCAAATATCCTTGTCAACTACTCACCATCTTAAACAGAGCACAGAGAGCCTATTGCTCTCACACTATTCAGTTCAATAGAGTTTGCCAAGCACTGTGTGCAAGGTGGGATTCTAGGCACAGAAGATACAAAATGAATAAATTCAGGTCCTGCCCTCAGAAGATTATATTTCAGACAGATGAGGCATAAATTAGGAACTAGAGGGCACAGTGCAGGGTCTGGGCAGTGCTTCCTGGTGTTTCGGATGCTTCTCAGGTGCATGAGCCCATCTGCCATGGTAATGATCAAAGTAGGGGTCTTCTGGGCTATGTAAGGACAAAGTTTGAGGGACTTGTAAGGTCTGTTGTTAATAGAGATCTGCAGGAGACAGTCCCATATTGGGCCTGGTGCTCAGGAGAGACCAGAGATTAACTCGCAGATGTGGATGTCATTCCCAAACAGAAGAGAAGAATAACAACAGGTGCCAAAGATCTTATCCACAGAGAAATGATGAGCCAAGGTGGCTCAGTGTCCAACCCAAGGGAATGCCAACACGTGGAGACTGTGGGAAAGAGAATTCCCTGGAGGAACATTAGAGAAGGTGGGCAGGGCTGAGAGAAAGTTAGGAAACCCCCACAAAAGCAGTTTCAAGGACAAAAACATGTTAAATGCTTCTGAGAAAGACCAGTCCAATGAAAATTGAGACACTCACTCATTAGAGCTCCTTGAGGGGGAGTTTTTTCTTTCTATTCACATCTCTATTATTATAATTTCCCTTAATTTTAATTGTCATACACTTTTTTTTTTTTAAAGGAGGGTGTCATTTAAACATTTTCCTATGGATATCACTTGAATGCCTTGGAGGAATTATTGTCATAAGCCAAACAGACATGCAACATGTTCAACCAAGGCAACCATGTGAAGAGAAAACTGAGGGACAAGCAAACATACCAGTACTAAGGACTTTCCTTCTGGAATCTTCACAGTCACGGCCACCTCAGGCTCTGAGACATCAAACTCAATCTGATCTCCGGAGATCACTTGGTCTCGGCAACCAAGCATGTGGGGACAAAAAGAGGCCTGGAAGACACCTGGGGACAGAGAGAGGCATTCCTGTCACTCCACTGCAAGCCCGTGTGAGCCAGCAGCTGAGGTCACGCACCCAGCTCACCTGGCCACTTCCTCCCGCCTTCCACAAGCACATGCGCGGGAAACTGTGGGTGCTCTGGCTGATGAAAGTGGATGACAAAGACATATGGGCCCAGGCGTGGTACCAGTCCTCTCAGAGTCACTTGGCTCTAGGGATAGAAAAAAGGGGGGAATAAAACCCCTCAAGTTGAAGAACTATGAGTAATTAGAATCCCAGCACATTTCGAGGTTAAAAAACAAATATATTAACCCAAGCGAAGTAAAAACCTATGTTCACACGAGACCTTCACTTGAATGTTGATAGCAGCTTTATTTGTAACCACCAACACTGGGAACTAAACAAACACCCCTTAACTGTAGAATGGGTAAAAAACTGTGGTACAGTAACAAATGTTCCTGAAGGGAGTATGATTTGATTGGTACAACCAATTTGGAACACTGGCAATATTTGCCAAAGTCATTTGCACTCCTGGGTCCATACAGAAATGCATATGCTTGCCAAAAGACTGCAAGCTTGACTGTAAGCTCAGCTTGGAACAACCATACAATAAAGAAGCTCCATTTTTGATGCTTGACCTCTGACAGTTTTCAAGTCCTATAACTTACGTTTTCCTTTTGCCCCACACCTGGACAAACAAATAAGAAAGCCCTGGTGCTCATCACTGACTTAGCACAATCAGGAAGTTCAAACCACATAGATTCTAACCCAAAGAAATGGAAGCCATTACCCTGCATCCCCCCAATTCCCCCCATACCCACCAAACACAGCGAAAACCCAAGGCACAGCTTCCTTTTGCTCAGACTTGAATGTGAGCCCTGCTCTCTCCAGAAAGCCTATGTCAGAAATGTCTTTTCAAATCCTCCCAAAAAGTACAAGAATGCAACAACAATAAATGATCATCCTCATCTTCCTATGACAGGAGAGGCTAAGTAACTAGCTGAAGTTCACCCACTAATTTGGTAGCAAACCCACAACTAGAGCTCCAGCAAGTGGTTTTTCAATTCACTTCCCCTACTGTTTTAGGCTGCATTTCCCATATGGAGTCTTATTAAATTTTCTTTGTCAAGTACTGTTAATTTCTTAACTTGATGCAATGGGAATTGACAGAAGCCATCACACTAAGGTTATAAGGACATACATCACAACAAACGCTACGTTCTGTGATTTTATAGTATACAGTGAAAAAATACATTTCTTTCCTATATTTCATTTTTGTGCTCTGGAGGATACATGGAGAAATATTTATTGAGAATTTCCTATGCTGTCACATAGTGGATACAAAAAAAATTGTTAGCCACAGCAGCTACTGTAAAAATGCTTACTATCTAACTCGGGAGAACAAGGGATCTTCAGTAGCCCATGAAAATGTGAGGTGTCACATGATGGGTCATGAAAAAAATGCCAAATAACTGTATAAACAGAGATAGAAGAAGGAAAAAGAACAGCAGGATGGGGAGTGTGGGATCCCCAACCCCCTTGTTCTCAAGGATATTGTCTTGGCATGCAGAGTTACTGCTGGTCAAGCAAAAAGGTAGAGTCAGGCAAGGCGCCTCTCACTAAGGGCAAAAGGCCTGGTATGAGGAACATACTGGGAAACCAATATCTGCTCAAAACAGCAGGCAGATTTTATGGCCAGATTAGCAAAACCAGCTAGATGACCTTAACAGAAAGTTAAGTGAGAACAGGACCTAGAGATAGGATTTTTTGTTCAGTGGGAACAATGGAGCCCCCGCAGCCAACAGCCTTTATTCACTGACTTCCCATCTTGTGCCAGCAATTATGCATCACCAATGCACATCCACACCAGAGTAGATTCCTCCACCGTCCTTGCCTGCCTTCCTTGACCCTGATCCTCTATAAATGTGAGACCTCCTTGTAAAGGGGTGCCTCTTCCTGAGGTGTGGCCCCTCTAGGTCTCTCTGCTTGGACTTTGAGTTCTTTCTTCTGTCCTGCACCTCGAGGTAACAGGGGGGTCAGAGACAGGATTGACCATATGATGCCTCTGCCTAGGATTCTCCACAGTTGAGAGGAGAGATGTTCAAACTTTAGGTGCATCTGAATCTCCTGGAGAGTTTGTTAAAACAGACTTCTGAGGTTCTGATTCAGTCTGAATTTGCATTTCATTTGTGGATGCTGTTGGAATGATGGGGCAGAGGTGGGGGGGGCAGTGTCACACTTTGAGAACCAATAGTTTAGAAATAACACATAGGTGGGTGGGGTGGGGGGTTGGGGGGTCCTACCTGTGGCGCCTTCAAGGTGACTCCAGTGACAGTGTCAGCAGAAGGAAACTGGGGTGGGAGTGGGGAAGACCCACCACTTGGGATGTGAAAAATTAATGCTGTTGGAGGAGTTTCCGGGGCCAGGGAGACACAAGTAGCACTGAAAAATAGAATATCTGAAAATAACCCAAATGGAAGAGCCATACACTGGTCAAGATACAGACTGAGCATAAGGCCACGTGAGCCTCAAAAGGATCCAGTCTGGAGGGAACCTTGGTTCTATAAAGACAGTGCAATTGGCCAAATAAATTCCAGACACTTGCTCAATACAATGAGCTAAGACAGGGAAGAAAAAAAATCTTCATTCTGATGAAAAGTGAAGTTAGAGAGAAATGCATAAAAACTTCCCTTCTACAACTAATATTTATTGTTGAATAAGAACAATGCAGTGAAACATTTTTATTCACTTCTAAACATAAATATCGACATCAACCATATAAAAACAAAGAGAGGACATACACATCCTTTGTTTTAGGCAAAGCCAGATTTCATTGTTTTGGTAGTTTTTACCATCATAACCATGTGCACAAGATATCATCACTGTGTATATAAGTTATTTTTGAATTTACATCAAAACAACCCCGCCTCAATAAGCTTTGGCTAGATAATTCTCATAATGTAGTCACTCTTTTTTTTTTTTTTTTTAATGAAGTGCCTCAGACAGAGATTAAAGGGCTGGAACAAAATGAGTCTTTATTAGTGCTCAAAGTAGAAGTCAGAGTACATGCCCTGGAGGGTGAAGCTTAACCATTTCCCCCAGATACATGGTGTCAACTTCCCGATATGGAAATCTGGAAATGTTGCTGGGGTATATGATTTAGCTGGGTTTTTATTTTTTTAATCCATCACGAGGCTTTAGCACACTGACCTAGGATCACTTAGGAAGTGAAGTTAAAGTTGCAGCCTTATATAAGCGCAAAGTAGTATCTCTCAGAACAGAAAGAAGGGGAAGAAGCAGCAAACATATTACCTTTGATTAACTATTTGCCCGTAACTGGCAATGCATTTGACTTGAGGTCTCAAATATTCAGTTGAGAATTCTTCAATGGGTATGATACATATCTGATGCTGTTGAGTAAATACAATATAAAGAGATTCATCACAGTTATGAGTGAAACCATGGGAAGGGCAAAAAAACTAAAAAAGCTGTTGAGTAAAGAATTCATTCAGAGCAATTATAGTTGTTAAAGTAGTAAAAACTACAGATGGTACTCCCTGTGGTATGTTTGGTAAAACAAATCCTTTTCATTATTATATAGGATTACTGAATAAATTGCTCAGAATAATTACATAAATAATTACATAAATAAACGTTCAAAACAACTCTTAGTGGTTTTTAGTGCCTGTTTATTTCCCCCCTCCTGCCCAGGGCCGAAGCTGTCTCTTAGATACCTTGGAAAAGAGATGGGGGAGGTTGGGGTGTGGTGGACAGCCAGGGAGACTGCTGCTCAGAGAGAGGGCAGCTCCTTCTAGAAATAATCCTTCATAAAAGATGACTTGTATCCCTGTCACATTTGGACTCCTGAAGCAACTGTCTCCAGAGCTAGCATTTGAATCACAAAAGAAACTTGGTCATCAGTGTCTCAATAGTTTTAATTTTAAATCAAAATTGTACTATTGCCAGCTTGATCACAAAGTTCTTCAGTAACAGCAACAAATTTTTTTATTGAACAACTACTATGTGCCAGTCAAAGAGACGGGGGATCCCGCAACCCTTGCCCTCATGAAACTTAGATTTCATCAGCCTTGACTCTGAAGACATTACACTATTTCAAAAAGGGCAGACTTATGCTTAAAAGGTAAAGATACAGCTCCATTATAATTTCCAAAGATGAAGAGGTTATAATTTACTTGGATTATTATGTTTAAAAAGAGAGTTGTAATTTTAAAAAGAAAGTCTTAAATTATCACATATTTAATATGATCATTTTAAAAAGCTCAATCCCAGGTACTTATTAAGAGAAAACTCAAAGTTTTTAACACGTCAGTCACAAATATTTAAAACAGGTTTGCCTGGCATTTCCCAGGGTATAATACACACTTCATATTAGTAATAACAGGAAGTTGCTTCAGACTTAGATAGCCTTACATTCCCTGAAATATTTATTGTAAATCTCACCACTCCTTCCTAGCCCAGATCCACTGCCTGTTTAATTTTAATTCTCCCTGTTCAAGCAGTGCTGTTAAGAGGGTGGGCATTAATCTGACAGACACGGCCTTTTAACACTTAACAGCATACAGGCTTCCCCTGCTTTTTTGAAAGTTTGCTTCACACTACTTCTCTTTTACAAAAGACCTTATTAGTACTTGTTTTTGCTACCTGAAAGAAATCCCAAGAGGATTTTCACTTTTATGACAAAAAGCAAAAAGTGAAAATTGTGCGCAATGGTTGTTTTGCAGCAGCTATTCTGGAGGCAGTGAGAATGGCCAAGCTTCTTTATCCCATCACTCTTGCTTTTACTACCTTAGTGTTATTTTTCATGTTATTTTTTTTTTTAAAGATTTATTTATTTATTTATTTATACAAACACTGGGTACAGCCAGAAGTGCGGGAGGGTGAGAGAATTCACCAGAGCCAGAGCGGGGACCAGAGCAGGCAGGAGGACCGAAGTACACTGCTGAGGGGCGCAGCGGGCGGCAGGAGAGGTCTGCGTGCCATGTGGGACCCTCCTCTGGTGGCCGGGGAGCAGCCTGGGATCGAACCGATGCTGCAGAGGCTATGGGCAGCTTCGCAACCCAGCGCTCAACCGCTGCGCCACCAGGGAGGCCCTTTCATGTTATGTTTTATCTGGTTATTTTGGGGTTAGTTTTGGGGTCTTGGAATACTAAAAAATTATTTCATATAAATTAATGGTAATTGCTTCTTCACTTTACATCATTTCAGCTTATAGAGGAAGAAATACTCTACTTTTGGATAGCAGGGAAATCTGCACAGTTAATTAACTGAATAATATTCTTTTTGAAATAGAATAACAATAATAACATTAATGAAATAAAAATACCAGGTAATTACAACTTTAAAATTTCTGAAGGAATTTTGCAAGGACACAATAATAAAATGGAGAAGAACATAAACAGTAATTAATGACATTTCTCTACATCAGCAATAATAAACTAGAAAGTATAATAATATACCAGGAAACATTAATAAACTAGGAAGTATAATGACAAAAGATATTTCCTTCAGAAGAGTAGCAATGAATGATATAAGATTTTGTGAGATATATCCAAATCTGACGATTAAACTTTATTGGATACTTTAAAAAAGGCTTCAACAAACAAAGGGGTAAAGTCAGATTTCTAGATGGGAATAACAAACATCATGAAACCGGTGAGTTGTCAGAGATTAATGTCATAGATGAGATACAAAATCCTAGCAAAATTGTAATAAACTTAAATAGAAATCAACAAAACGCTTCTAAAAATCACTGGACAAAATTGGCATACCAGAAAGAATCGGGCTGAGTGTGCTTTGAGCTGAATGTCTGCATCCCCTAGCAGCTCCAACACGGCCATGACGTCCTGGCCATCCGTCATGGTACTCCGGCAAAGGATACTGCAAGAGGGAACACAGCTTGCTCAACCCCATGTGCCTGGCCCCTGCTTTCCCTCACTTTGTGCTTCATATCATCTGGCGGATTGCTCGTCTGTTTCTCCTGCTTATAACCCCGTGAACAACAGTGACTTTTCCTGCACAAGGAATTAAGAGGGAGGCAGCCCACAGCCTCTAAGGGAAAAGGCGCCTGCCTATTGTGACCTGAGCTACACTTCTCAGGTAAAGGCCTTGCTCACCTTCTCCATTCTGCTTTATGGAATACTTGGTTTCCTCATCTGGAGAAAGAGTACAGGGTTAGTGATATCTGACCCCTAAGTCACAGACTTCTCAGAAATTTACAGATATTCTTGATACCGTCATCTACTGAAGTTGCCCACTGGCCTCATGATGAGCCTTCTATGCCTCATCAGGAAGTGTGGCTGCCTGACTCCAGTCCAGAAACCCACAGTTGGCCCTTGGAAGCTCAGTCAGTTCCTCATCCTTCTTCCTCACTTCTACCAGGATGCCATCAGGTGAAATGCAGGGCTTGAAGATGCTTAAAAGATCACCATTTAAACAAAAGAATACACCCTAAGGATAAAACCCTTAGGAGGAAGTATTTTTTGAGGAATGCTTCTGACTTCATGCTCTGTGGCAACTTTTCTGATGTAAGTATGATTTGGAATTAGAGACATTAAAACAAAATAATTATCTCTGGGAAATATTTGAAATAATGTATGCAGTGACTCTTTTGGTAAAGATTAAAATGAGATAGTGCATAAAATCCAAGCACAGTTTGTGGCATATATTAAAAACTCAATCAACAGTCATTTTCTTTGGTGTATGTGTGTGGGTATGAGTGTGTTTATCAATTAAAGTGCATTCCTTTTGGAGTCAATCACAGACCTGGAAGTTAAATATAGCGATTCACTTACATTTAGTTTATTTCTATACTCTGTTAAATTCTTACTAAGTATAGAACTGATAACTGGATTGATTTAATCAGTAATGATCACTTCTTAGGGAAGGCAGATCAGATTTATTGAATGCAATGTTGAAAAGTACTATTTCTGTTTTTTTAATTGGGATTTTTTTTTTTTAACACCATAGTTAAAACTCACTTGAGAAATGCTGGAAAGATTCAAACCTCAGCAGGAAAGGCTGCAAGGCTAAAAGGACCTATTATTTAAAATAGGTTTTGGGGGGCCTCCCCTGGTGGCGCAGCGGTTGAGCGTTGGGCTGAGAAGCTGTCTGCAGCCTCTGCAGCACTGGTTCGATCCCCAGCCACCGGGGAAGGGTCCCAAATGGCGCAGACCTCTCCTGCTGCCCCTTGCTCCTCTCAGCAGTGTACTTCGTCAGTCTGTTCTGCTCCCTGCTCTGGCTCTGGTGAATTCTCTCACCCTCCCACGCTTTTGACTGTACCCAGTGCTTGTATAAATAAATAAATAAATCTTTAAAAATAAAATAAAATAGGTTTGGGGGTCAAATATTTTCTAATTTTTTTTTTGTGGGACCCTCACCAGTGGCCGGGGATCGAACTGGCACTGCAGAGGTTGTGGGCAGTCTCACAACCCAGCACTCAACTGCTGCGCCACCAGGGGAGGCCCTATTTTCTAATTTTTGAACTCCGGTACTTGTATAGTCTGTTCATTTTCACTTGGTCACACCACTGGCAAAGCATGGAAAAAGGAAATATGTTCAATAAGTGAAAAAACACTTTTGAGACTTTCCTGAGAGCAGTAACATAGATAAAATCCTAGTTGAATACAATTCTAAGCATAGAGACTGGAACTTTGGTGTTGTGCTGTCTAAAGAGCCCAAATGAAGTACAAAATATATATAGTTCTCCCCCCAAAATGCGATTCAGACCAAGATCTTGAAACAACTGCTTATGGAATCCTGAAAGGGTGTCGTTTCTCTCTAGTTTTGAAATCACTCCTCTGTTTGGCAAGGATATTCTCAGTCTTTTCTGAAATGACTCAGAGAATCACTGGGGTCATTATGGAAAGCTCCGGCAGTTCCCTCAACCATCTCCCTTTGTATCCAGGAGGAGCTGGGCTCAAGCCATGTGACCTGGAAGGTGGAAGGTGTCAGTCCTGTGGCCGTGCGGTGGCCCATCCATCTAGAAGTGCATGTTCCAGTGGTTGCTGATGTCACCAGTGGCTGATTATTATTATCAGGTAATGACATAATATTCTGGGGAATATTTTGGGCCATGTGATACTCCCATTAAAGATCCACATACAATTACATTCTTGTTTTTTATTTTTGTTTTTGATATTACCCCAGAGACGAGAGCTGATTAGATTTTTAAAACAAGACTTCATAGTTTCCTTTTAGGGGTGGTGCAGAGTATGATGTTGATTCAATAATCGTATCTTCAAGTCTCGTAAAAGTGTTCTTTCTAAGCAACTAAAAGTAAATCTTTTCATAAGGTGTTTCATTTGCAAAATAGAACTACTTCAGGCCATTGAGGGCTTGACCAAATGCAACATGGAAGTAAAGGTAATAAAATGTTCAAGGTCTTGGCCAAAAACTGGGTGGGGTCATTGTAATTCGCTATTTGCTACCTCAAGGGACTCTGACTTTCACTGCCATTTATTATAAAGTTACTTTCATGTGGCAACGTCCCTTCCCTGATTCCTTAACTGAAGCATATTCCAAACATTTCATATATCTTGAAATATTACGCAAAGAAAACAAACTTCAATGAATCCTTGTCAGAGCTCATGGAAGAGACAAACTTCATCTGGCTGAATGTTAAAATTCTTTGTCAAATTATTATTCACCTGATGATCATCAAACATTAATCATCCTCAGTTCTGAAGGGTGTGTTGTGAAGGCGTGGGCACCGACGAACGTTTTAAGAATTAGTTTTTTTCCTTATACCACACTGTGTTTGGGGTGAGAGCATTAAGTTCATTGCACCACAAAGAGGTGATAGAGGATAATATTGAAAGTTTGGGTTGCTTTGTGATTCTGCGCCGAAATCATAAGTAGAACATACAGCTGTTCAAGAAAATGCAACATTTTCATCAAGCTGCCCACAGAGAAGCCTCCCAATAGCTTCACTGGAGTGGATTGTGCAAATAGTCAAGGTCAGCTTCAAAAAGGAAACAACTTCCAGTTCATATAATAACCAAGGTTCAAAAAACAGACCATCCAAATGTTCAGTTACAGGAAAATCCCTGGGGGCAGGGCTGGTTACCTGTACTTGCAGCTGTAGATGTTCACCTGTCCTGTCAGGGCAGACCCGGCGCTCTCCACATTGATCTCAACCATAGACAGCTGGTCTACTTCCGTGGCATATTCAACCACGACCACGTAGTGGCCCACCTGAGGGACCTGCAGCCGCAGATGCAGTTCCACCTGTCAGAGCCCAAGCAGACAGACCATCATGCCAACGTGCAGTACACTGGATGCATTTGCATAGGCAGCAGGGGGAGAAATGCTGAGCAGACACTTGGAAATTGCTTTATACATCCTTATGGTAAGAAATGTGGTCCTATAGGTCAGGGTGACTGATAAAATACAGGATGCTCCATTAAGTTTGAAATTCAGATAAATAACAAATAATTATTTATCTGGAATTCAAGTTTAATGAGTCATCCTGTCTTTTTATTTCTTAAATCAACCCTACTTCTAGGGACTTCTACTCCTTCTACCATATATTAATTTGCCTTGTTTCTTGAGGTAAAAGACAACTCTAAAACTTGATGTGTAAAAAGGAATTTCCATGAGGGGATCAGAAAAAAGGAAGTAGGCCTTGAGGATCTTTAACTGTTGTTTAATCTAAAAGGAAACTTTAAATTATATAACTGAAAATAATGTAAAAGTGACACACCCTCCACTCCTGGGATTATGATTAATAATCATACTTCCAAGCCACTAGCTATAAATACACACATATATATACTACCTTTGTGCTCATAGTAGGCATCAGGGATGATTTTGCGCCATGAACAAAGCTGAGCAGGTGCAACAGAATCCACATGACCCACAAAGCCAACAATATTTACTAGCTAGCCATACAGAAAATGTATGTCATCTGCCATCACCTACGGCTTAGGAGGTTGGAGTCTGGAGTCATACTCCCTCCACCTGTGTGAGGTTAAGTACTTGAGTAAGTACTTAACATCTGTGTGCCTCCCAAAAATGATAACAAAAGTACAAACTTCTTAAGATTGTTATGAGGATTAAATGAGTTAATATATGAAGAGCTTTAGGAACTGTATTTGGCACATCAGTATTTCATGTGTCTATCAGTACCTACAGATATACTTCATTTTTCTAATGATTGCCTACCATTTCCAACTATGAATATAAATTAATTTATTTAATTAAACCTCTGGTGATGAAACTTAGGTTGTGTCTAATTTTCCCTACAACTTATAGTACTATATAAATGTATATACATATGTGTGTATATGTGTGTGTATATATAATATATATGTATATTCTTGTGCTAAAATGTGTATATATGTATATATCACCTTACACTAGTATTTCTATAAGTTCCCTAGAAGTGGAACTGCTAGATCAAAGTGCATGTACATATTTAATACCTTAGCCAAAATTAAAATTACATTTCTCAGAATTTTAACCTAGTTCAGCCTATAAGTTCAGGCCCAGCCAAGCTTTACCACAATTAAAATCTTCCTGTCCTTTTGCCAACAGGAAATTCACATTTACTATTCCTTCTGCACTGCCCTGAATCATGCAGCTGCTATTTTCCACAGTGAGGTTTCTATCACTTAAATAATAGAAAGATTTCCATCAGGGAAAAAAATGTGGATTATCCACACCACTTTTCTACTCTGTGTTACAGAATGAAATATGGCAATGCCATTAGCCCCCATGGGGGAGAATTTATTACTAGTATTTCTCCCCTGGGCATCTCCAAACAAAGGTTTAGCTGTTTTTACCCCACTATAAAACACACACAAATCAATGATATATTGAGTTTTCTCCCAGAAGTTTATTAGTTTTGTAATGTCTTTGGCTGCCAGTTCTATCATGGTATTTTATTATAATTTTCTATTACTTCTTCAACCCCATCTCCTATGGATTGATTTTTGGAAGACTTGTTGGAAGGTTTTAAATATATTTGATAAAAGTGGGTTTCAGAAACTGAGATAAAAGACATAAAAGATTGCAAACAAACTTGATTGTTTGCTGTTTGCTATCAGTTATTTATCTTTGAAAAGGCCCTTTCATGGAACCACTGACAACCTGGAAGGATTTTTCTGGTTTTCTGGCATAAAACTGTCCTCACCTAGTTATCAGTTTTTCAGAATAAAAACATAAAAAATGGGCTTATCAAATCTATTGCTTAGACAAAACTAAGAGGGATAACATGTCTAATACAAAAATGAAGTTTCAAACTTATTTAGTCAATAAATATTTATTAAATGCCTCCTCTATGCCAACCCATCTGGGAAACAAGACAGACTGCAGACAGAATTTAATCAAATAATTGTTAGACAAATGCAATGTTAAATTACACATGACAAATGATCTGAAGAGATAATATGGGAACACAAAAGGGGGTTCCTAAGCTAGCTAAGGAGATGAGGGGGGAGGGAAAGACTTCCCTGAAGAAGCAATAACTGAACTGAGCACTAGAGGACAAGGAATATAACCAGAACATGTGGGGAGGGAACAGCATTCAGAGAGAGGGAACAGACTACAGCAGGAAATTAACCTACAACATACAATGCCATAGGGTGGCATATAATGTTAGTCTAAGAGACTCATGACAGGACATAGCGATGAGGAATAGAGAACAAGAGGAGGTATGATAAAAGTGGGAGGTAAGAATGGCACTCTGACAAGGAAATACATTTTTTTGTCTCTATCCCAAATCAATAAGGTATTAGCGTAATGTTCAAATTGTGCGTGAGGGCAGGGTGAGATGGTCTATCAAAATGAAAATGCTGACTACTATGGAGAATGAACAAGGAAATGCAATGAGCAGGAACTGGTGTGAGTGAGTAAGCGAACTGGGGGCCTATTGCAGAGATCTTTATGAAAGATGATGTACTGGACAAGAAAGAGAGATTAAGAGAAATGAAGAAAATCTGGAAAGTAGACCTGTGGTGGGGTAGCTCATATGAAAAGCTGGTGAAAAAAAAAAAGTGTTGATAAATTTCTACCTGGGTTTTGGCTTTAGAAGAAGCCATCGAATTTGGGCACTAAAGATCAAAACTGTGGCATTGTGAAGTGGAACTGAGTTAAGGCACCTGTGGGTTCAGTATCATAACTGATACTGCTATGTTAGTATCATAACAATCGAGGTAGCACACTATAATGCCTAGCTCCGGGCTAAGGGTCCATAGGACAAGTAAGACATTACAAAACTAATAAACTGCAATAGGTCTAGAAAAAGTGGAAGAGGATTTTTAAAAAACTCTCACTCAATATAAGTCAAAAATCCTGCAAACAAAATAAGCCCCAAAACATGCAAAGAAAGCTAATGTTAAGAAACATAGGCAAGGGCCTCCCTGGTGGCACAGCAGGTTGAGCACAGCCCTGTGAAGCTGTCCGCAGCCTCTGCATCATGGGTTGGATCTTGGACGGCCAGCGAGGGTCCCACATGGCACGCAGACCTCTCCTGTCTCGCCCGCTACTCCCTTCAGCAGTGTATTTCAGTCCTTCTGCCTGTTCTGCTCTCTGCTCTGTCTCTGGTGAATCCTCTCACCCTCCCATGCCTCTGGCCTTACCCAGGTCTTACATAAATAAAAATAAATCTTTAAAAAAAATTAAAAAAAAGAAACACAGGCAAAAATATCATCAATTAGATGAACTCACTTGAGTTGAGATTAATTTCATGAAATAGTCTGAGAAGGACTTCAAAATAAGTATATTGAAGCTTCATCTGAAATCCTCAAACTCTGAAAGGAAATTTTTGAAATTTGTTTGGTGGCAAACCTAACCTTAACTCGGTGGCAAAATCTGACCTGAACCGATGTAAGTCCATGTGTAATAGTCTTTATATGTCTCCCACGGAGGACCTATTCATGCTTTTCATTGGAAAAATAGTAACCTGTTTGATTATAGGGTGTTGCCCATGATCCCACTGAAGCTGGTATGTGTGTGTGTGTGTATGTGTATCCATGTACTATTTTATCTTTTTAAGCCCTTGAAAATTCTGAATTTATTTTAAATCATAAACCCAAAAAGAAAAAGAGGAGAGGAAGAAAGCAGGCCACAGAAATCAACAAAATATTGGAAGTTGGACAGCAAATGGATGTTAATAATTAGCGAGACCAAAGAAAGCAAAACTAATGTCTGAATGTATATATGTAGGGTTGGGAGAAAAAAATCTTCTAAATCATAAAACAGGAAAAAGAGATAAAGATAAAAACAGAGTGTGAGAAAGAGTGGGGGAGAGGGAGAGAGAGAGAGAGAGAGAGAGAGAGAGAGAGACAGAGAGACAGAGAGACAGAGAGACAGAGAGACAGAGAGACAGAGAGAAGATAAAGACTGGAATAAAGATAAAGGAATAAATTATTAAAGAACTCAAGAAAATTTCCAAAAATGATAGATGGAAATGATGGATGGAAGTTTCCAGGCTCACTGGGTCTGCTAAGAGCCCAGCACACTCGCTGACATGCTCTCTATATCAATGTATATCTTTGTGAAATTCAGAACACAAGAAATGAAGAGATGGTCTCAAAAGCTTTAACAAAGGAGAAGGGTCACATTCCAAAGAATGGGACTTAGAATGTAAGTTCTCAACAGAGCACTTGAAACTATCAATCAATGGGAAAATGTCATCAAATTCTGAAAAGAAATTGATTCTAACCTAGAATTCTGTATCTTGCCAAAGTAATAAATCAAAATTGAGAGTAGAATAACAATATTTTCATATATGCAAGACTTAAAAAAAAAAAAAAGAAATACCTCGTATGTGCAGCATTCCTCAGGAAATCATTGGAGGATATAATGTACAAAAATGAGAAAACAAATTGAAAAAAAAAGGTGGAGGTAAGGAACAAAGGGATGGCAGGTGCTGAGTGGACTATGGTGGAGGATTATGGGTGCTTTGGTGGTGGGTATGGTGCAGTAACACATATCTGAAGAGGTGTAATAAGTAAATAAAATTTTATTTTATTTTTTTAAGATTTGTTTATTTTTGCATACAAGAACTGGGGTGAGATGATTCACCTGAGACAGAGTGGGGAACAGAACAGACAGATCTACTGAAATACACTGCTGAGGGGAGCAGCGGGCAAGACAGGAGAGGTCTGCTGCACCATGCAGGTAGCTCTCTGGCCGGGAATGGAACTCAGGCCGCAGTGTGATAGCACTGAGACTTAACCCCTATGCCACCGGGAGGCCCAATAAATAAAATTTTAAAATAAAGGTCCAGGGCCTCCCCGGTGGCACAGGGGTTGAGCACTGGGTTGCAAAGCTCCCTGCAGCCTCTGCAGTGCCAGTTCGATCCCCAGCCACCGGGCGAGGGTCCCACATGGCGCAGACCTCTCCTGCCGCCTGCTGCTCCCCTCAGCAGTGTACTTCATCAGTCTGCCTGTTTTGCTCCCTGCTCTGGCTCTGGTGAATTCTCTCACTCTCCTGCGCTTCTGACTGTACCCAGTGCTTGTATAAATAAATAAATAAATCTTTACAAAATAAAATAAAGGTCCAATTGTCAGGAGAAAGAGGATCCAATACAAAGGAGAAGAAAACAGAATATGTAGGATCATGTTGCAGTGATGAAAATTTTCAGAAAATGACTATTTTTAGGCCTAGAGACTACATCCTTGAGTGAAAAAGAGAGCTGAAGTCCAGGGAAGATATCTCCAAGAGGTGTCTTGGTGGTGGTAATTTTTGGGGGATTACACCTGAGAGGAGAATGAACAATGATGTGAAAAACACATAAATAAAAAATTAAATAAGCAAAACATAAATCAGAACAAAAAAAAGAAGAAAAAGGAACATAACCTTCATGACTCCTGTGTGAGACAAAGAACCACAATTTAATTTGCATAGCACATGGCACTGGTGGCTACTACATTAAACAAGACAAGTCTATAAACTTGCAGATTAAACAGTAAAAAAGAAAGACAAATAAAACCAGACAAAGGCTTAGTTTTATTCATTATGCCCAATATTTGGAGTGCAATGGCTCTGAGCTTAATCAAAGGTAAGAACACCGCCTGATGAATCATCATCATCACTTCCTGGGAGGTTGGTTCCCCAGACCTCCTGGTGTCTGAGGAACACATACACATGTGTACCTGTGTGTGCGTGTATGTGTGTGTGTGAGAGAGAGAGAACACAGCATGGGTAGGGAAAAACATTGTGGAGTATTAATATTAAAATTGAGTGGAATTAATATCACTTAGTTTCTCTTTATGCACATCTATGTTACTTGCTACAAGTATGTGGAGGGTTTTTTGTAAAATAAAAACTAACAAAATAAAATGAAATGAAGACCAAACTTAAGAAATATCCTTTAAATTCTTTACTACTCTGAAAAATGTTAGGAATGTAGTTTATAAAAAAGGTACACATCTAATGATCCATGAGAATTAATATCATATATATATTGCCATTCCACAAATTTAATCCCCCAGACATTTTCCTTAAAGGTACAAAATAGAGAATGTTGTAAAAAGTGAGAAATGGAAATAATCTAGAGGAAGTTTTATTTCAGGCTTCATTTTGAGGTGTTTCATTGTGTGTTCCTATTGCTATTCTTGATATATAGTCCTTCTAACAAATCTTAAATGAGTATAGTCTTAAGTGTTTTGAAGTTCAAAGAACTCCTGGTAGAAACATAATCCTAAACCTGCTCTATCCTGTCCTCCAAGTCAAGAAGAATAGCCTTGGGGAGTAGCAGTTCCAGATTCTGAGCTCCAGGAATTCAGCTGTCACAAATTGTTTAGCCCAAGGGTTTGAACAGTCAGTGAGGGTTGTATCCTTTTAGGGTGATCTCTTTAGAGAGATCTTGCCCTAAATTAGATATAATGGGATGCCACCATATAAGTCTAAGTAATCAAAAGAAGAGAATTCTATGGTTACCCATATTCCGTGGAATGCATTGAATCTGTGTGGTATACTGCCCAGCCCCAGCTTGAATCAGAGAACTCAGGACACCTTTAATTAACACCTCTGAGAAATTCCTCCAGGTCCCCTGAATTTGAGAAGCTGCTGTGGCCAAGGGCTTTTACCAGACACAGATGGGGTGGTAGTAATAGTTTTGACAGTAAATAAAAGGCTGCCCCACCTCTTTTCCGCTGAGGTCCGCCATGACTGGGTGTGCGGGGGTGGGCTGCCTCACTGCCAAGGGTCTTGGCTCCCCATCAAGCAGGAAGTATCTGGCCTCACAAGCCAGGGCACAGGGGAATCGGGTCACTGGCAAATGCTGGTAAAGCAAGCAACTTCAACAACAACAAAATACAATAATTACAACTGAGAACAAAAAGCATTATCAAAGTGTACCCCCAAGGTCTCTTATCCATTCCATTCATTCAGTCATTCATTCATCATGCCTTCAACAAACTCCTACTGAGTGCCTACTTCGGGAATCAGGCAGCATATTTTCATCTGCATGAGGAATGGAAGAAGCAAAGGTCACAGACCCAGATTCTATTTTAAGCTATTCCCCTCATAGAGTGTAGGACCTTAAGGGCTTCACTCAGCCATGCAGTGGCATTTCTACATGCCAGTGGGTAGAAGTCTCTCAGAAGTGCCAGCTACAATATACACAGTGCTTGGTGATTCTTACGTGAAAGACAATTGACTACCTCAGAGAAAAGTCACATTAATAATGATACTGAGCACCTGGATGTAAGTTGGGGCTCTGAAGCCTACATTGAGTCTTTGTGCTCAAATGCTCCTAATTTAGAGGACACCAGTGATGCACCTGTCAACCATACTAACTTCTCGTGGGGCGGTCCTGCCTCGGCACAAGGCTCTGTGACTGGCAGCTGCAGCAAGGATGCTTCATAATAGTCCCTGGGGAGCAGCACAAGGTAATCCTGGTAAATAAAGACAAAAAAAAATTATCATTCATTTTGATGGTGGCCCCACTCTCATAATAAATTAACCAAAATTCTGGCTAAGAGCACAATAACCCAGTGAAATTGCTAGTTAAATTCTCCACATCAGGGCCTCCCCAGTGGTGCAGCGGTTGAGCGCTGGGTTGAGAAGCTGCCTGCAGCCTCTGCAGCGCCGGTTCGATCCCCGGCTGCTCCCTGGCCCCCGGAGGACAGTCCCACATGGCGCGCAGACCTCTCCTGCCGCCCGCTGCTCCCCTCAGCAGTGTACTTCGGTCCTTCTGCCTGCTCTGCTCTCCGCTCTGGCTCTGGTGAATTCTCTCACCCTCCCGCGCTTCTGACTGTACCCAGTGCTTATATAAATAAATAAATAAATCTTTAAAAAAAAAAAAAATTCTCCACATCAACTGCTTTTCCTGAGCCCTAACTCACCAGGACACGCCAACTCATCACAGGGGTTTTTAAGCATTGAAGATAATGCTTAAAAGTGTGATAAGCATTGAAGATAATGCTTAAAAGCTCCTCAGTGTGAATGGTGTCTTTTTGAAATCTCAGGGAAAATTTTACTCTCTTCTAGGTTGTTCATAAATTCAAGTATAAATAGAGGTAATAATAATAATAATAATTAATAATAATAAACAGCCCACTGGTAAAAAGTTACTTTGGAATAATGATGGCCTTCAGAAACGATGTTTTGTGATCCTGGTAAAGCACAGACCACTGCTGGCCTACTGCCTGTCCTAGGGTATGAGAGGAAGAACATGTTCCACTGAGTGTGCCAAATGAGGCCCGCAAAATAAAACTCAGCTAAGCAGCCCCCGGGAAAGAGCAGCTTCCGAGATTCTGACACACAGATGATTGACAGGGCACAGCCATGCTGGCATCACAGTTGCTCTGCAGAATGAAGGAGGGAGGGATGTTTCCCACAACAGTGAAGAGACTCATACATAGGCCATAAGACTTTTTCTCTTTCCAGAGCCCTCAATCTGTCCATAATGGAGAGGAGGAGAAATGAATGAGGGGGAAGGAGGAGATGGACCCAGGGGGGCTCAAAGGTCTACCATGGTGGGGCCTCCCCGGTGGCGCAGCGGTTGAGCGCTGGGTTGCAAGTTGCCCGCAGCCTCTGCAGCACCATTTCGATCCCCGGCTGCTCCCCAGCCACCAGAGGAGGGTCCCACATGGCGCGCAGACCTCTCCTGCCGCCCGCTGCTCCCCTCAGCAGTGTACTTCGCTCCTTCTGCCTGCTCTGCTCCCCGCTCTGACTCTGGTGAATTCTCTCACCCTCCCGCGCTTCTGACTGTACCCAGTGCTTGTATAAATAAATAAATAAATCTTAAAAAAAAAAAAAAAAGAAAGAAAAGAAATGTTCGGTTCCTTTAAAAAAAAAAAAAGGTCTACCATGGTGGTCTTATTCTTGAGAGCATTTTAATTTAAAAATGGTTATTGTTCTACAGTCAGTTTCCTTAGGTTGGGTCCATATTTCCTCATTACTTTATGGTCCCCTTCATCTGAAAAGAGTAAAGGCTGATAATAAATGCTCAATATTTTTAGAGAAAATGGGATCATAATATGAAAGCACATATCAGAATCACTACACAATCACACTGACTAATGTCATCAAGCGTCTTCCACACTTGTGTGGTAACTTTTATAAATGAGCTTTTTCTTTCTTTTATTCTAACTTTGTACCCATTATTGGTATCAACAGCATTTTCCTTGTTCTCTTTCTTTTAAGGATATACTTATTTGTGCATACAAGAACTGAGGTGTAAGCCAGAGGTGCAGTGGTTGAGAGGATTCATCAGAGAGAGTGGGGAGCAGAACAGGCAGATCTACTGAAATATGCTGCTGAGGGGAGCAGCAGGTGAGACAGGAGAGGTCTGCAGGCACTATGTGGGTAGCTCCCCGGCACAGGGACTGAACTTGTGCTGCAGTGGCTGGCGATAGCCTGATATCGCTGTCTTGTTCTCATTTTTAACATCTGTGAAATGTTCTTAAACTTTTATAAAGCAACAAAATTGCCTACCGACAAGATGCAAGAAAAGCAGACTGGATGAACAACCTAAACATTCCCATTATCTCTATGACCTCAGATTTGGAAAGGACTCATAAGAATACACACTATGCCTATTGTCAACAACTGAGGCAGGCTTGGTGTTAAGGGACTTTCCTGTTTGCTGACATAGTCAGTAGAAGGGATTATGCCAGAAGGAAACTGAGTTTCTGCTGTGGTTGCATAAAACCAAGTATTGTGAAAGACAGGACTACATCAAATTAAAGAGCTTCTGCACAGCAAAAGAGACAATAACAAAAACAAAGAGAAACCCCACCGACTGGGAGAACATTTTTGCACACAACACTAATGATAAAGGACTGATCACAAAAATCTGCAGAGCTGATGAGACTCAACAACAACAAAGAAAATAACCCAGTCAAAAAATGGGCAGAAGAGCTAAAAAGAAACTTCTCTGAAGAGGAAATGCAAATGGCCAACAGGCATATGAAAAAATGTTCAACATCACTTGTCATCAGGGAAATGCAAATCAAAACTACCATGAGATACCATCTTACACCAGTGAGAATGGCACATATTAAAAAAACTAGCAACAACAAATGTTGGCGAGGTTGTGGAGAAAAAGGAACTCTCCTGCACTGTTGGTGGGAGTGCAAACTGGTCCAACCACTATGGAGAGCTGTGTGGAGATTTCTGGACCTACTAAACATAGAGCTTCCATATGATCCAGCAATTCCACTCCTAGGTATTTACCCAAAGGACACAGAAACATCCATTCCAAAGAGCACCTGCACCCCTATGTTTATAGCAGCACTATTTACAATAGCTAAGCTTTGAAAACAGCCCAAATGCCCAAAAATAGATGACTGGATCAAGAAGATGTGGTACATATATACCATGGAATATTACTCAGCATTCAAAAAAGATAAACACATGCAATTTGCAGCAACATGGATGGCACTGGAAGGGATCATGCTCAGTGAAATAAGCCAAAAAGAAAAAGAAAAATACCGGATGGTCTCACTCATAGCAGGAATCTAGAAAACTTAAATAAGGGACCAGGAAAATGAATAACTATAAGAAAGTGAAAATCAAAATCAACAAAAAACTATGAACCAGAGACACTTTTTGGGGGTGGGGGGCGGGAGAGGAGGGATTGGGGTCAGAATGGGGGGGTTGCAGTTGTATGGGGAATATAAAAATAAAATTTATTATAAAAAAAAAAACCTCCTTTAAAAAAATAAATAAATATTTCAAAAATAAATAAATAAATAAAAAGACCTTGCTATATAAAGCAGACATCAAAAGGGGTATTGTCAGATAGCAGGTTTCTTTCTATCACCATGATGGCTTCAGCACCCTTGATCCAGGTCCTCAGCGTTTTACCTTGAGGAAGAGGCAACCTGTTTGGTGAGACTTTTGCACACGTTTAAGGTAGCAGAAGGCAAGAAGAGTGTCACAGAGAAGGACTGGCTACTCCAGCCTCTCCCTTCTCTTTCTACCACCCAGCACTTCAATGATATTACAGTTGTCTCTTCTTCTAGTGTCATCTGATTCATTCTAAACAACTCCCGGAGATGCTGATTGCTGCAGGAGGCCTTGTTGCTCCAGCCAGATAGGATACTGACAAGCAGCTAAGAGAAAGGACCTCACACCATGGGGCTGAAGATCTGGCATCCTTTGCTTTTTGTTCATGGTCATAGAAAAAAAATTATCAAAAAGTATATTAGGCAATAAATTATATGTATCAGCATACTGTAAGTAAATAGCACAAAAAATTGTTTGTTTAAAAATTAGTTGTTGGGCAGTTTGGCCCACTTGACAATGGAAGATGGTTTGTTGTGCATGCCTGACAAGCAATCCAGCACAACAATTGTAGTGGGTCCTTCTTTTGCCTTCTCTTGAAGTTTCCTGGGAAAGTTTTTAAATAAAGCTATTTAAGTTAGGAGTTTCTAAATAGAAAAAATTCTGATAGCTAAGTAGCAGCCGGTCCCCGGCTAAAGGCCATGAGAATAAAAAAAGTCTTTTCTTGCTTAGGCTTTGGCTGATAGGGATGCACTGGCGGCTATCTACTGTCTTAGGTTATTGTTTAGCTAAAACAATGAGTTCTAGTGTAAGACTTAGTTTTTTATTAACCTTAAAGGTTGCCTTCTTACTGAGAGCACGTAGTGGCCAAAAGCCCATAGAAAAAGAGATGCACTGATTGTTTCTGCTTTGTTTCTATGCACATGATAATGTAATCTCACTGCTTGCAAAAAATGTATAAATAAAAAACCTGCTGAGCCTCTCGGCAAAAGATACTAACACCTCACCAAGTGTCGGTGTCTCCTCATTCCCTTCCCCTCAGCCCCTAAGTTTCAGTTCATTCGTTTTCGCCGAGGCCCTCTCATCCTTTCAGGAACCCCTGACACGACATTTTGCCAGAGGCTGGTCCCTGACAGCTGATTTTTTTTTTAATGTCCTTCCGATTCTTAATGAAAAATCCCAAAGAAGATTTTGAAAGATGAGGACATAAGCTCATTAAAGGTTTGGATTTATTCTGATGACTTCAGGTCATTATCAATTTTAACTTAATTTTTGTCTGAGAGCAGCTGCCTAGAAGAATATAAAATATATTTTACGTTGATTCGATGTCATTTGAGGGCAAATGTCACCAGAGATTCCTGGGTCTGAAAGGAAATTGCTTATGATTCTGGTAAGTTTTGGTCACTGTGGGTCACAGTGGATGGAGCTTTTCTAAGGAAGGTGAGAGGGAGAATAACATACAGTTCTTCACTCAGAACATCTCTTACCAGGAGGACTCCCTCTGCCCTAATACATGCAATCCACTTTCCTGGTCCAATTGAAAAAGGGTCTGCAAAGCCATTTCCAGGGATGGTGACAAAAGCTGGTTTCTTACTTGGCAGAAAGAGGACCTCTTTGCTTTGAGCAGCACCTGGGAGAAATAAAAAGAACTGCTTAGGGAATTTTTCTAGTAGTCGGTGTTATGATTTTAGATACTCCGTTTTAAAATTCAGTTTACAGCTGAAAAGATAGTTTACTGATCAAATTTACTGATATTAATTTTTTAGTTGTATGCATACACATACTCTGTATAAAATAACCTAGAATGAAATTGGTAGGATTTAGCAGTGGCTGTCTGTGCTGGGATTGTGAGTGACTTTTTACTTTGTTAAATGATTACGTTTGTTAATACAAGTGAACTATTTAAAATTTTTCTTTGCATATAATAAAGTGTTTGATATTTGCATTAGATATCAAATTATTTTCTTATATGTAATTTAAAGTAATAATTTCTATTGACTAACACATGTTCATTTTGAAACAAGAGAATATTTTGGTTTTCTGTTTGTTTTAAGGATGCCATATTTTCTTCGGCATTAAACAAATACAGGATCTTTGGGAGGTTTAAAAATAACAGCAACAGCAATGCTTGAGTCCAAACCTGATTTTCTCTTCAGAAGAATGTTTACTCCAAATCCTTGTGTTATTCTACAAATATCTATGTACCCACTATGTGCCAGGCCTGGAACTAGGCTCAGGGCATGAGACAGTGAACACAGCAAACATGGCTTTTGCTCCCTGATGATGGGAACAGGGAGATGAAGCATCATGGACCAGAAAGTAGGAGAATACGGCACAATACAGACAGTGGAATTTGGGAAGAGACCTAGGTCATTACGGTAATTCACAAGCTGGACTCCCGACTCAGACACAAGAGCTTAGAAAAGGTGCCCCAGAGCAGGAGCAAGTAAATTAAAATGTCCTCCAATTTTTGAATTAACAGCAGGCAAGTTGCAAAAGGCACTGTCACCTATGAGGCAGAGGGTCTCTTAGAAAGAGTTTGGGGTTTGAAGACTGGGACTTATCTACATAGAGCAGCTGGGCACTTAGGCAATTTACTCCACTTCTCAGCTATTTCCTGTTTGATCCTCTGAGTTCACAAAGTTCTTATATGAAGAAAGGATGCCAAAGAGCTCTGTAAATGATAAAGCAAGGCTGCTGGTTCTTCCAGTTGGTTATTAGTTAACCAACTTCTGGCCTGACACAAGCCTGGTCGACACATCTGGGGAGCAGCATTTCTTCCCCCAGGTCTATCTCTGCCATGTTCGCTAAATGAAGAAGATGCTTACATTTCAATTCTAAATTAAGATTTCCATCGGCAGCATCATTTTGTCTCTTTGAATGATTATTAATGCTTCTGGGAATGTTTCCAGAACTGGTGTAAAAGCCCTAACTTCCTGCTGAACAGCTACCCAGGTCTCACCTCTGACTGTGGCACTCTATGCCCTCTCACTATTTCTCTGCCCCCAGGAATCCCCACCTCTGAACCAGGTTTGCAGGCTCCTCCTATCTGGAGTCTTCTGGATGTCATACTTCACAGCATACATTTTAAAAACACCGAACCACACCCATTCCTCCCTGCACTATTTGGTTTGTCTGGAACAGTGGGAGAATTTAGGGCAGTAGGTCAAATTATCTCAAATTACATAGCAAAGGTGATACTCCTTTACCATGAATGGGTTATACATTCTCTTGGCCCTGTGGTGATATCATAACCCTGTGGAGTTCATCCCAGGTACACAGGTTGTTAAGCCAATTCTTTTAATGTCAATTAATGATAACTTTAGTTGCACAATGTTAGAGACTGCAAAGGTAGCCAAGGACAGGGCACCCAGAACACTGTCTTATTCAGACCACATACCAGGCTTCACATTTTCTAAAGAGGTGAACTTCGTAAAAATTGGATTAAATGGGGCCTCCCTGGTGGTGCAGTGGTTGAGCGCTGGGCTGCAAAGCTGCCCACAGCCTCTGCAGCACCGGTTTGATCCCCGGCCACAGACGAGGGTCCCACATGGCGCGCAGCCCTCTCCTGCCACACCCACTGCTCCCCTCAGCAGTGTATTTCGTCAGTCTGCCTGTTCTGTTTCCCACTCTGGCTCTGGTGAATTCTCTCACCCTCCCGCGCTTCTGACTGTACCCAGTGCTTGTATAAATAAATAAATAAATAAATCTTTAAAATAAAATAAATTGGATTAAATGTTTCACTAATTAATCATTTCTTAATCCAAAAGAGACTTGAAAATTTACTTACCTATCTTAGCTGAGGATGGATAAATAGTCACACGTCCAGACACTGCTTGGGTTCTATTGTTAACATATCTCAGAATAACACGAAACAAGGACAGACTTGACTTCCCCACATTCAACATGATCCTTACTTCATTCTGAAAAATATCAAAAAGCCATAAAGTATAGAAAAAAACAACTAGTTGAAAGAAATGTTATCCAAACACATTATTCAGGTTCACTACTGGGCTTGTAGTGTCCACACACACACACACACACACACACACACACACAAGCATATACATTCATACCTACTCAACAACTGTGGAAGATGTAAACAAATAAGCCTAACAATAAACTTAGATCACTTACAATTAAAGTTTCAATGAAAATGCACCACCTCAGTGACTGAGATCCTCTTTTGACTTTTTTCGTAACCAGGCATACAGAAGGGTATATTAGATGGACTAGTTAGGGAAAGCCACAGTGACAGGGGCAACCACCACTGGCTGGGAGAAATAAGGCAGAAGAGAAGGAGAGGAAAGTGTATTATTCACACATACCCCACAGAAAGCCCACAGAGAGACCACTGCAGCTTACACTTCACACGCATAAAATTCTAAATGGTCACAGAAACTGATGTTGCTAAGGAATAGTTATCGGGCTGCAAACACAGTACTGAGAAGTCTGTATGTCACTAAAATATGCCCACAAATGAAGTTGATCTCAATTCCTATTCAAAAGAATGTGGGCTTTCGGACAAGGTAGGGGCCCTCTAGGTGCCTGGGCTCCTGGACTGTTTTAATTCTTAACCTCAGATTACATGCCAAAATTCAGCTGTGACCCAAGAAAGTTTCATGAAATTTGGAAATTCCCCCAAATCAGTGGTTCCTCGGAACTCTGCCCCTGATCCTTTGGCTAATAAAATGAAGAAGACTTTGCCCTTGCTCTGGAAGCAGGAACTGCAGCTGACCCACACTACGTAACTCCAGTGGGTCCTCTCAGTTGAGAGGAACTCATCTTTAAGTGCCCTAATTTGGAAAATAAAAATGCAAAAACATAGTGGAAGCAGAGTAAAGTAAATGATGATATAGGGACATTTGTCCTCTGTCAATAAATACTTACAAAAAATGTATCATTAGAAATTAATTACTTCGTGTTGGCCAGCTATTCTTTCAAACTGTAAACACCTGTGAGGTCTCCTCTTGAAGGGCTTTCAGTCATGCGTATCCTATTATGACCCAATAGAGCCCACTACCTCTTTTCTGATTAATGAAATAAGATTGGTAACTAAAGAAAATGAATTTCTATCTCTGGAAAAAAGGGAAAAAGAGCGAAGTATCTTAAAATCCCAGGGACTGCTTGAGAAAGGCAACCTTGATTAGGACCTTTGGCCTGACCAGAAACAGTTTTAGAATCAATAGGACTCCAAGGGAACTTCAACCTGTCCCAGTTCCTGACAGTAATAGCAAGTACTGGTTCTGGATCTGCTAGGGACAAATATTGGGTCACCTCTTCTATTCTGAATTTCTCCACTGAGAAACAGCTTTAAGAGACCAATCTCAAAGAGAAACTCTGATAACAAAACTACTCAATGACTATATAGAAGTTTCTACTTATAAATACTGTCTAAATTCCAATGGTAAATAAAGAATGTACAAGTTCCCTCATTCTTTCCAATACAAAACTGAGAGAAATGGATATATTAGAGAAGAGTGAAGGGAAGGAGAAATGTAAGAATGGAAAATTAAATAACACTATGTAAAATTTCTTATTTATCTCAGTTTCTATTCACATACTAAATCAGAGTTTTAAAAAAGCCATCAAAAATTAGCAATGCAAGCATTACTGAAATTAGTCAATTCCTTATTTTTTTCCACACGTGGCTTTAAAGAAAAAAAAATGTCTCTAATGTTAAAATATACCTTAGACTTATTTAGGGAACTTCCTTCTTCTTATAAAACTTCCAGGGATAAATAAACACCATTTTTTTAATGCCTCAGTTTCTGATTTGGGGCCCAGATTAAAGTAACAATAAACTGTGAAATACATATATAAGGTTATTAGTTAACCCAGCCCCTACCCAAGTCTCACCCATACCCTAAAGAATCTTGGAATCAGTTTTGGGGGACAGTTCACCTTTGGGGAAACTCACTGGGAGTATTGTGGGTAAGGATACAGGCTACTCTGCCCTAAAACTTCCTCCTGCTGTCTACATACCTGCACCGAGGTCATCTGAGCATAGCCTCTCCAGCTGAACTCAGGAAACTCTAGGGGATCAAATCCAAACCGGAGTTCTCTGCCATTAGGTGGACTGCCATCTTCAATCTCATACTTCATATGATGCAAATCCGGGAAATAATAATTGTTTTCAGGTCTTTCATAAATAAAAGGCAAACATGAATATGGCAAGCTAGGTTCATTGATAATTCTAATATCCTTTAATCCTAATAGTTACTAAAAACTCCCACCAAGTTGAAAGAGTATATCCAACAAGGACAAATGAGCAAGCCCCTCACCCCCAGCTTTTTCTCTAAACTGTTGCTTCAGTCATGTAAACATTCACATAAAAACCCTTACCTACTCATTCCAAGCAGGAAAACTAGAAAGTCACTTAGAAAAACCCATAGTGGTAGAATCCTTTAATATATCGTAAATGGCTGCCAACAATTTTGCAAAGTTAAATTAAATTATGTACTATAAATTTATTCATTCGCTCATTTATATACTTCTATTAATGAATCACAGATACGGTAATATCTATGGGCTAAGTAAAATAGATACAATAAAAGCAATAATTCATATGCTAAGTTTACAAGTTTGACACATTTTATATATAACATATCTAAGTCATTCAAATGACCTATATTCTAATTTTATGTTAATATATTGAGCATATAAATCATATCTATCCCATATATGTATCATATCTATATACTGATCACTAGAATAGCTTTTGATGCCTTATTTTCTCTTAAACAATATGCATGCAAATGGATCCTTTCAAGAATCCAATAATGAAAGTCACAGAGAATGCTCAAAAATATTAAAAGGAGTATCTCTGGGTGGTGAAATGAAGATTTTATTTTTACATGCAATTGAAATTTTACAAGACACTATATATTTATTATCACAACAATTATTTAGAAAACAAAGTGAAAGTGAATGCTTTTTAAACTTTAAGAGAAATTAAACATGCTCAGATAATATCACAAACAAACATTTAGGGGGAATTTAGAACAAAATATTTACCAACCTGGAGAAAAGGTGCTACGGCATCTACATGCTGGTTTATCTATCCTTTTATTCCAGTTATCATTTACCACTAATCAAAGGACATGGTCTAAATTCTATAGACATATGTGTTAACTATAGACATATGTGTTAACTATAACTCAATATTTTTGCTTCAGAGTGGGAAATTTAGTTGAGTTCTTATTTAGTTGCATTATTTCAACCCCCAAATTAGCCAATCAGCTACATACACACTGGGAAGAGAAAAGTCTTATGCTAGCTGAGTAGGGAGAAAACTTACTTTATCAACATAAGGGGGTAAAGAGGTAAAATATGGGTGGAAAATATTTATGGACCTATTTACAAAGTTTCTCTGGTCCATCCTGAGCCTCTAACACCTGAAGGAAATAAATCTAGACACACACACACACACACACACACACACACAGGTCCGTTTCCCCATGACGTGGGTGGTGACTGCAGGTCAGAAAGTACTAAAGAAAGCAGAGCAGGGTGGCTCTGGCTTTTTGAAGGAAAGGTGAGAAGAACATACCAGACGTGGATAGTCTACCTTAGCTACATGAAAGATTTTTTAATCTGCTGATAATGCAGTCATAGAAATACTGGAGATTTCAAAGAAGTTGCATTTCAGAGTTTATAGCGTATGATTAAAACTATATTAAAAATTAGTTTTTTCTTTCCTTCAGAGTGGAAAAATTATGGATGGATTGTGGTTTCAAAAACATATGCAGTGGACATTGAACAACCCCAGGGGTAAGGGGCACAGATGCCTATGTGGTCAAAAATCTATACAGCTTTTGACTCCCCTTAAATTTAATAATTCGTAGTCTTTTGTTGACTGGAAGTCTTACCCATAACATAAACAATTGACTAAAATCTATTTTGTATGCTCTATGTATTAAAGACTTTTCTTACAATAAAGTAACTTAGAGAAAAGAAAATGTTATTAAGAAAATCACAAGGTTTATCTTTTTTGATTACTGATTAATATTCCATTGTGTATATATGCCACATCTTCTTGATCCAGTCATCTATTTTGGGGCATTTGGGTTGTTTCCAGGTTTTACCTATTGTGAATAGTGCTGCCATAAACATAGGGGTACAGGTGCTCTTTTGAAGATAAACTCATGCCATTTGCAGCAACATGGATGGAACTCAAAGGAATTATACTCAGCAAAATAAGCCAGAAGGAAAAAGAAAAATATCACATGGGTTCACTTACAGCAGGGGAACCAAATAAGACATCAGTGTAAAAAATAATAACTGTACAAAACACAACAAAGCAAAAATGAACAATTATAAGTCAGAGACATACTGCAGGGGAGGAGGAGGGAGAGGGATCAGAGGGAGGGAGGGAGGAGCACAGGGGACTGAGGTGCTGGTGCACGGGTGCATTGGTGAAGGAAACTCTATGGGGACTACACCTGAGGTGGGCGGGGGAGAAAAAATTGTTTAAAAATGAACAATGATGTAAAAAAAAAAAAAAAGAAAAATGGAAAAATTAAAAAAATTTAAAAAAAGAAAATCACAAGGAAGACAAAATACATTTATAGTACTACAGTAGGAACTTATCAATGCAGTGGGTTTACAATGTCTGTTTACAAGGAAATCCACATATAAGTGTACCCACGTGGTTCAAGGACCAACTGCATAGATTTATGTAAATATGTCAGGACAAAGAGACACAGGCTGCAGCCTCCCACGGTCTCAGCCTCCATCCTCCCGCATGCTCTGCAGCTCATTTTCATTATTTCTGTGTGAGGTGAGGCACTTCCATCCACTCCTGAACTTTTCATACTCTCACCCTCCCTACCTATAACACAGCTGGCCCTTCTACAGTCTCCTTCATGGATCCCCAGAGAGAAGCAGGAGCTGAATCTCCTTGGTCAGGAGATTCATGGGACCCTACCTCCTGCATCTACACAACTATGGGACCCCACCTCCTGCATCTACACACACAGCTCTAGTTTTCCCACTTGGCTCTTTGTTCCTGTGGGAAGGTTCCAGTGAGGTGGCTCTGTGACCTGCAAGGTGGGCCAGGCTTTATGGGTAATTGACCTCTTGTTTTAGTTGTACTTACTGAGAAGTGTCCAGATGTCTGACCTTCACCTGCCCTCTCTACTTAGGACAGCTTCTCTCTTCACCAGCACTGTCAGCACAGACAGGACTAGTGAGACAGTCTTCCCCAACATCAGTTCAGGAAGAGGCCTCCCTGACACTCACCGCTGGCATGCCTTCCCCACGACGTGATCTCGACATTGGCACACCCCAGAGGAACCACTGCATATGGGGGTGACAGCTCCTCCGATATCACACTGACACCCTAAAATTCAGGAAACAATAGCAGTTACTCATCAAAGCCTCTCCACCCTGCTTTCCTTCTCTCTAAGAGAAGTGGGGAGCAGCCAGACCAGGGGTGCAGAACTGTGTCTTCTCCCTCCAGATACATCCTGTATCTGGCAGGTGTTTGATATATGTAGCGACCACCCAAAGTGAGAGAGCATGCCTCCCTCCCCAAAGTCCAGGTGCTCATTGGAGATGCACTCATAGTTCAACATAAGAGGACCATAGCCCAGGAGCCAACCATGATGTAAAAAATAGTACTAACGTAAACATGTGCTAAAGAGAGACTGTAAGACAAACACCTGGCGGGGCACCCACTTCATCCATTGCATGACTTAACATGGTATTATCTCTCAAAATTGGGCATGAGCTTTTTGGATAATACAAGATACATCTTAAAATTCTGCCTTCGTATTATTTATGGTGAGTTCCCTCTCCATCCTGATTCTATTTTTTATAATAAAAACTATAGTGTGCAGGTGTAAGAGAAGTGGAGGCAGCCCATTCTGTAATTACTAGTTTCAACTGAATGTTTGCCCACATTTCCTGCACAGAGTTCCCTGGACAAATGATTAGTCTCAGAAAGTCTGTGTGTAGATAATGGACCCCAAGAAAAGGCTGTTCTGTTACTATCCATCAGCCCTTGAGCTTTACACGGGATTCACTGTAAGAATTTACCTTGACACCCAAAGTAACTGCTCTTCTCCAAAGCAAAATATCCATCTTCACATGTGTCGCAGGAATCACCTCCAACGTGGGACTTACAATGACAGTCCCCATCCCGCTGTGGCACAATGGGCCAGATGATAAAACTTGGTAAGATTATAGAGATCCCTAGTTTCCCAGATTTAAAACAGGCTCATTGTAAAATATGAAGCAGTGCAGCCAGATCTGAAAATTTCCCATAAGATTCCCATGCATTGTACAATGACAGATACTAAGAGCCTCCCACAGAAACTCCATAAGCGATTGCTATCACATTCCCCCAGTACTGTAGGAAAAATCACCCCACATTCATTACCTGACCGCACTCTCCAATCCCACTCACTGTTCCCGCCATATGGCACTGGCATTCTGTGAAGAAAAGACAGTGTCCTTGGGCCAAGGGTTACACAAGGGACAGTTGTCCCAATAGGAACATGACAGCAACATGTGCAGTCACTTTCTAGCACACTGCAGCAGAATTCCAGTTTGCACCACTAAAGCCTAAAATTGGATTGCTTCCTGGGGCCAGCAGAATAAAAGGATGGATTCCATCCCCCTACAAGGAGCAATGACTGCCTTACGCCCATTCTAAGACAAAAACTGCAGCATTATGGGAGTTTTCAATGCATCTTGTATCGAGGTCATTACTGACAGGCTTATATGAAAATACACTCTATTTCAGGACATTCACTCCACTTAACCACCTTTAGTTTAGTGTTTTTAAATTTCTATCCTGACTTAAACAGAGGCAAAAAATGAAAACTAATGTCTCCCAGAAAGAGGAGATTATGAAAACAAGGCAGTAAAAACCATTTATCAAATAGCTGCCTTTGCAAACAACAAAATACATATGGAAACAGGACATAAATCCCTGGCGGAGATATTGAAAATGACAGAAGTTCTGCCAAAAGTGAGGGGGAAACATCAAAACATTTATACAGAAATTAAGACAAATTGAACTGATTAAACAAATAGCTCTTTTGTGGATTTAATCACTGAGGTAGACACACTCAAGAGGAAGTTACAATAGACGATTGTGTGCGAGAACCCTCACCTGAACAGCCATCAGGGTTTTCTTTGACCAGATTCCAGTATAATGGTTTGCAGACACTGCAAGTAGGACTTTCCACGTGAAGCTTGCATTGGCAATGCCCCTTTGAAAGAAAATCAAACTAACATTTGACATCTTGGAAAGAAGACATTTACAAGCCTGTGTTCTGAACAAAGCTTGACACAGAACATATTTTGGTCATGAAAAGTTAAGTATATCCAGAGCAGGGATAAAAGTACTGGGCTGATTTCAACAGTCTGCTCATTGCTTTTGTTTTATTATTTATTTTTTCTACACATAATGCATATTGGTGGTTGAAACAAGACTGGAAAATAAGGAAAAAGAAACATGTTGAAATCACTCTTATTTTTAACATTGTCATTATTTGTTAGTTCTGTTACATCATACACTGTACCTTTAAAAGGAAAAATGTCTGAAAATTTAACATGTTGAGAATCGATAAGGAATTATGTATCTGAAGATGTTTTCTGTAATACGCGGGAGTTGCTGTCTTGCTCAAACATGGCCATGCCTCCTTGGTCTTGTTTAAGACCATCTCCTTGGCCCCCCTAGGGCCTAGAGCTCCAGTCTCTGAAACTAAGATGAATAATTTCTAAAGCGCTGCAAAAACTAATCAGGATACCAAGCTACTGTATCAGGAATAATATCAAATAAATTGCAATTACGTTGCACACAGTTTTATTTAATGTGTACTGGCCATTTTTGTTTCTTCATTTTGATTGGTATGGCAGGCTGATGTTCAGGGCTCCAGGGTGACAATACTGTAAACTACAGTAACACCAGAGTTAGGTATTTACCCAAAGAATATGAAAACTCTAATAAGAAAAGATTTGTGCACTGCCATGTTCACAAAAGCATTATCCACAATAGCCAAGTCTTGGAACCAACCTAAATGCCCAATGACAGATGACTGGATAAAGAAATTGTGGAGTATAGACTCAAAGGAATACTATTCATCTATTTAAGAAGATGAAATAGTGCCTTTTGGTGCAAAATGGATGGATATTGAAGTGATTATGCTAAGCAAAATTAAGTTACAAAGTGAAAGACGCTCACTGTGGAATATAAATAACCAAAGAAAACAAACTGGCAAAGCACAGATAAAATAATTCTTAGACTCTGCAAAGGACATGGTGAGTGGTCGCCAGAGGGGATGGGAGGGAGGGAAGAGGGACCTGGGAAAGGAAGGGGGGTAAGACATCTGCACTGGAGCCTTAGTGGGGTGTGAGTGAATTATGTGCACATGTTGAGGTGTGAAGATGTACCCCCAAAATGTACAGTTATGTAAATGACTGGCAAATCAATAAAATCTGAGGGAGAAGGAGCGTTAAATTCTAGGACACTAGAATTATAAGTTAAAATAAACTTGTTATTTTTTTGTTGTTGTGGGGGTGGAATCACAGTACCACATACGCACTTTCAAAGAGAACAATGTCCTATTTAAGGAAGGTCCCAGATCTTATTTTAACTTACTTTCAATTTCCGGGCACTCCCGAATGTGTTACTCTTCCTTAAGTATCAGAATATAGAATTGCAACCCTTTGATCACCCTCTACTTACCAAACTGGAGTCGAGGGTACCCGCTGGGTCACAGGCGCTGCTGGAGCCTGTGTGTGATTCAGAAATGTTTTAAATGTCTGCAGTTTTAATTGGTTGTCTCTTTTTTTTGCGTTTTAAAAGTTTTACTTTTATTTTTTTAACAGTGAATCTACATTTATGTTTATTGATAGATGGGTGCCAAAGACTTTGCATATAATTCATAAAAAAGCACACTGAACAACCTTGATGATCCTTAATCCCCAATACACCCCAATATACGAGAGCCACTGAATGACTATTCCTTGGATACTACTGAAAGTTCATGTCTAAAGGATGATGATGGAGACTGGAAAAGATTCTTAAATTTTGCATATCTTAAGGATTTTCCAGAAGAGGGCGATGTTGTATCAAGAGACATTTTTGTCCATAAAAAATTGCAGAAATTTTAAGTACCTTTTTTTAGCTAACTGAAACTTAATTCTTTGATTATTATGACCCTTTGTCCCCCACTTATAGTATAAAGTTACTTTTAAAATTAGTTTTCTTTCCCACCTTATTCAATATAGTATTACAAATTCAATGTTATTTCTCTTCAATACACTGGGATCTTACCATTCTCAGTATTACTATTATTCAGCATTAGGAATAAAGAGGGCTTGGGAAGCCTGTTCTGAGCCTGATATTTCAAATTTACATGAACACATAAAATGGGCTGTTTCTTAGACTTTTTGCCTCTTCCTCAATTCTTTTTCATTTTTTTGTTTTGTTTTAAAGTTTCACCTCATTCTTCTGTAATAGTCCACACAACCCCTCGCCGCTTTGTGATTTTCAGCCTACTCACACCCAGCCTTTGGCTCTTCCCCAGGCTGCCATCCAGCTCTGGAGAAATCATGGGGGCTGCCCAGACCCTCTGCTCCTGCTGTGTTCTTCTTTTTGACCCCGTGGAGGCCAGCAGACTCACCTGGGACAGCTTCCCACTCTAGGGGCCTTCTCCAAGCCCAGTAGACCCCTCTCAGTTACAATTTCCACCAGCAAGGGACTCCCTGGTGGCACAAGGGGTTAAGATGCAGCACTGTGGAGCTGTCCCAAGCCACTACAGCATGAGTTCGATGCCTGGTCAGGGAGCTACCCACATGGCGCAGCAGACCTCTCCTGACTTGCCCGCTGCTCCTCTCAGCAGTGTATTTCAGTCAATCTGCCTGTTCTGTTCCCCACTCTGTCTCTGGTGAATCCTTTCACTCCCCACACTTCTGGCCTGTACCCCAGTTCTTGTATGCATAAATAAATAAATCTTTAAAAAAAAAATTTCCACCAGCAAGAAAGCCTGGTCTCCTGAGGACTCAGGTGAGCAAAGCTCCAGGGACTCAAGTTGGAGCTTGGCCCATCTGCAGATGGCTCTGAACTCGAGGCTGAAAGCGCTATCAACAGCAGGATGGGGCCTGAGAAATCCACCTTCTCCTGGTGGAAAGTCCGGTACAGCCTTCCACAAACATCCCTTTCTCAGCAGGGAAAGGGTCCTTTGAATGCAACTGGCAGGAGCTACCCTACACCCAAGGCTGCAGGCTCTGGAAGGAGCAGAGGGAGATTCCCAGGGCATCCCCTCTGTGCCCTCTGCCACAGAGCTCGGCATCTCTTGGGCTCTCCTGTAAACAGAGGGGTGAGCACCACAGCAGCCCCAAGCAGTACTCCCTCCTTGGCTCACTCTCAAACCCAACAGACTCTACTTCACCCTCCTCCTTCTTCCCTGCACACCCATGCTCATGTGTAAAGACACAAATCCCTGTGGCAGGCAAGAAAGGAGAGGAACCCCATAAAGGTCCTGCACTGCCAGCCAGCAAAGAGGACCTACTAGAACCCCCCACAAGGGGTCACAGGGCAGCCAACATGGGTGTCACAAGTCCGGACCAGAAAGCAGCCTTGGGGCCAGGGCAACAAATGCTCACTGTCGCTGAAAGGAGTTGCCTTTGCCACACTGCCACATCCCGAGGATTTACATGTGGATCATAAAACAGTAATCATTTCTGGATTCATTTGAAGATGCACACGTGGTGTGTTTTCAATGGACTCGAAGTGGGGAGGAACCAGGCAAATTAGGAGCAAGTGTGGTAGAGGTGACTGTGCGGGGCGGGGGGTGGGGTGTGTGTGTCTGTGGGTTTCCAGGCTTCTCTGGGAGGCTGGCTGCACACACGAGAGAGTACCCTCCTCCACCCCCATGTTTTGATACCTTCTCTACCTTGGCAGTGAGGGAAGTCGTAGGCCCCTGAATGACACCTGTCACACCGCTGTCCCGTAATCCCCGGGCGACACTCGCACTGTCCAGTCACTGGGCTGCAGGGCATCTGGTAGGAGCCAAGGGCTGAACACTGACAGGCTGGAAGAAAAGTCCTCAGTCAGGCACAAGGTGGTGTACAGGAGCATACTGGATAAGAGCACAAGCTGGGGCCAGGAAGACCTACTTGCTAACTCTAGTTTCATCTCTTACTAGATCTGAATCAGAAACAAGTTGCTTAATTGCTATAAGCTTCAATTTTCCCTTTCTTTTTTTTTAAGATTTATTTATTTATACAAGAGCTGGGGTACAGGCCAGATGTGCAGGAAGGTGAAAGGATTCACCAGAGACAGAGCGGGGAACAGAACAGGCAGACAGATGAAATACACTGCTGAGGGGAGCAGCGGGTGAGGCAGGAGAGATCCACCGCACCATGTGGGATTCTTGCTGGCCGGCCGGGATTGAACCCGCACTGCAGAGGCTATGGACAGCTTCACAGTGCAGCATTCAACCGCCTGCGCCACCAGTGAGGCCCCAATTTTCCCTTTCTTAAGTGGGAATAATAGTAGTGTCTACTTGATAAGGTTAAGGTAGAGATTAAGTCAGATAATACTTGAAAGAACTGGAGACAGCCTTTTCTCCTAGTGAACATTCAACATGTGCTGGTTTTTATTGCTGTTAACTTCACATTCAGCAAGAGTGGCTGGCTGAGAATGAAGGCTTCGGGATGCTTCTTACACATAACTGGTGCTCACCGAAGAAGAAGGAGGGACAGGTGATAGAGGGGATGTTACCCATTGGAGCTGTCACTTTAGTCTATATCCCACTGGGGATTAAACGCAAACCATTCCAGACCAGATGAGCCTACAAGTGTCCCTCTTTTTTTCCTTGTCCCTCATTCTCCATAACTAATTTCTCAGGGTTCAGTGGGGATGAATAGACATGAAAAAACATACGGAGTGAGAATAGATGAGGAAAGCGTGCTCGTTTTGTTAGGGGGCAGGATGTCCTGAGCAAACTCCATACAGGCTTTGCGGACTCCACCCCCAACTCCATCAAGACACTGGGAACTACAAATCCCATGATCACCAAAGGGAAGTTGTGAGGACCTGAGGGCGGAATTAAGCAACTATGTTCTCTGTTTGAGTATTTAACTGGCCATCTGGCCCGGGGTCGCTCTCTTGGCCATGTGGCCTGCTCGGTTTTTCACCAGCTTGGTGGGTCATTGGGATTCCAGGTCAGCGGAACAGGTAGGACGCATTTACAAACTTATCTCCCTCTTTTTCTCCCTGATTATTCATTTCCCATTTTTCCTTCACTTGTAAATAAACCTTTTATCAACCTTTTGTGTGTGTCTGCAGTTTAGCATTAATAAGTCCCCTTTAAGTGTGCGGGTGAGGACCCACAGTCAGGCAACCCATTTTATATCGGGGTTGCTCTGTAACAGTTTCCTTCTTCCTGCCTCAGTAGGTAAATTAAACATACAGGGATGGAGAGGACAGATTCTGGCCATTTCCCTCTCTGCTCCCTACTGGGTCAGGTTCCTACTGACCCCATGTCTGTGAGGCTCATCTCCTATAGGACTGAGTTCCTCAGCTACCAGCTCCATGTGCAGGGCAAGCACCTGCTTCTGGAGAAGTGAGCAGAGGAGATGGGCCACTGAATTCCTGAGCTGGAGGGTTTCATGTGTTAAGAGCAGGAAGGGATTGGAGAGGTTATCTCCTGGAATTCCACTGTTATACAGCAAAGCGCAGAAGTTATGTGACTTTTCCCAGGTTACCTAATTAGTCTGTAGCAAAAGTCTTCAGTCTCTGGAGCAGACATATCTGAATTCAAGTACCAGTTCTGCCGCTTAATAGGTTGTGCAATCAAAGACACACTGATTAACCTCTTTTATCCTCATTTCCTCTTCCATATACTCGAATTAAGTATACGACCTATCTTTTAAGGTCATTAGAAAATCACCAGTGACAAAACTTGAAAAGCACTGAGCACATGTGTGGCATAGAGGAAGTTCTCTGCAAGTGTTCTCTCTTAGTAATGCTACTACTTTGATGATCCAAGTCAGCCCCCCAATGCCTGGGAGGTCTTCTTTACATAATCTTGTGCTGCAGTGAAGGTAAACAATGGATTAGTTTGATTTCCAAATTTCTATTCAATATATATAGTAAGAACTATAAGACTTTGTTTGCAAGGTTGCCATGACTCCACACTTACTGAGATCTTGGGGAAGATAACATTCATGCAGCAAAGTGTCAGTTCTGATGATTTATTTGCAGGTGTCCTTAGGATCTGCAAATGCCCACATGCAAAAACCTTGGAGCACAGCACTCCTGCAGGGGCAAGACTACACCACTTTCATTCTCTGTGAGAGGACTCAGCCCAGACCCATGTGTGGGAGTCACTCAGGTGCTTTTTAGTGGAGATGATCAAGGTAGCATTTGCAGTTGTCACTGGAATCATAAACTCTCACTGATGGAAGGGAACTTAGCTAGGTTTCTCACTTAGAAATCACCACAGACCATGAAGTGTTCAGACAGTTACAGTTAAAGGAACAGCAGATCTAGAAAATTTACTAGCAATCCCTCCCTCCCCCACCTATTTTATATTCACCCAGCCAGCTGATTTTGTTGGACTATTGTGTCCAACCTCATTGTAATTAGGTGTTGCTGTAGAGGAAAATATGAAAAATACATGCATCCCAACTCCAATAAGCTAAAAATCTAGAAGAAAGCCTAGAAAATCATTGACATCGTATGAAGCAGCCCTCTTCCCCCACCAAGAAAGTAAATGTAAGAAGGATAAAGAAATGTGCCTCAGGGCCTCCCCAGTGGCACAGCAGGTTGAGTGCAGCAGTATGAAGCTGTCCGCTGCCTCTGCAGCACGGGTTCGAACCCCAGTTCTTGGCCAGGGATATTCCCACATGGCAGGGCAGACCTCTCCTGTCTCACCCACCGCTCCCCTCAGCAGTGTTTTCAGTCATCTGCCTGTTCCGCTGCCCACTCTGTCTCTGGTGAATCCTCTTACCCTCCCGCGCCTCTTGCCTATACCCCAGTTCTTGTATAAAAATAAATAAATCTTAAAAAAAAAAAAAAAGAAATGTGCCTCATACCACTCAGCCAGCTTCGCAGCTGGCAGAACAAGGACATGGGTCAGCTGCCATCTGCATCCTGTCCTTCCATGGCCTCTGGTTCTCCCAAGGTTGTCTGCAGAGAGCTAAAGAATTGTTTCCTGGCTCTGTGAAGGTTAATTTTATATGTCCACTTGGCTATGTTATAGGCTCAGACATTGATCAACACCAGTCTCGATATTACTGTTTTTGGAGATGGGACCAACATTTAAATCAATTTGAATAAAGGAGATTATGCTCCTTAATGCAGGTGGACCTCATCCTGTCAATTGAAGGCCTCTGGAGAAATCTTGGAGGTCCCCACAAAGAAGGAATTCTATCTCTAGAGAGTCTTTGGGCTCAAGCTGCTGGTTCAATTTTTCCTGAGTCTCCTGTCAGCCTGCAGATTTTGGACTTACTAATTTCCAGTTCTGTAAGCCAATTCCTTCAAATAAAGCTCAGTCTATCTCTTTTTCTCTCTACACAAGAGAAACACATCCTAATATTGTGCCTGGTGGCATAGGAGTTAAAGTCTCGGCGCTATCAAGCTATCACCAGCCGCTACGGCATGAGTTGGATCCCCAGCCAAGGAGCACAGCAGACCTCTCCTGACTCTCCCATTGCTCCCCTCAGCAGTGTATTTCAGTCAGTCTGCCTGTTCTGCTTCCCACTATGTCTCTGGTGAATCCTCACACCCCCCACATCTCTGGCCTGTACCCCAGCTCTTGTATGCATAAATAAATAAAAATAATCTTTAAAAAAATCAGAAAGATGCTCATTTGTTAGCGATTCCATTGAAGCATTTGATAGGGAAGGGGGAGAAGATGCAGTTGGCTACTCTGACACTTGTGCTTTGCTGAACAGAGCTCATCTTCACTGTCATAATCACACCTACTCCCAACACAAGCTACACGAGCGTGGATCCATGTGGGCAACTGACATAGAAGGCCCATCCTCCCCTGCTGCACCTCCCCCTGCAGTGACCTCCTTCACTGCTGTGCTGGTCCACGGCACTCCCCCTCCTGCCTGGTAGCTCTTCAGTGTTTTATGGAAAAAGAAAATTTTATAGATTTAAATGCATCAGTTGGGGCCTCCCCGGTGGCGCAGCGGTTGAGCGCTGGGTTGCGAAGCTGCCCGCGGCCTCTGCGGCGCCGGTTCGATTCCCGGCTGCTCCCCGGCCACTGGTGGAGGGTCCCACATGGCGCGCAGACCTCTCCTGCTGCCCGCTGCTCCCCTCAGCAGTGTACTTCGGTCCTTCTGCCTGTTCTGCTCCCCGCTCTGGCTCTGGTGAATTCTCTCACCCTCCCGCGCTTCTGACTGTATCCAGTGCTTGTATAAACAAACAAACAAATAAATAAATAAAACATGCCTCTATTAAAAAAAAAAAAAAAAAAAAGCTTAAAAAAAAAAAAAAAAATGCATCAGTTGTGCCAGTAAATGGAGCACCAGAGTCCATGTCTACAGAGCACTCCTTTGAAAGTTTTATAAGTGAGAAATATCTGTAGCTATTAATAAGGATTCTCAATACATTTTAATGGGGTGCTATGTGAATCTTGTATTTATAAGTGCAATGAAAATGTTGACAGAATATACATATATATAGATAGAGACAACTTGTCTAAAAGATTGTGTTCGGACTAAATATGTTTGTAAGAAATATATTTTGAAACCTGTTCCAAGAGCAGAGATGACATATCTTTTTACTGTTGCTTTTTAAAGTTAAGTTTCCTAATGTACAATAAATTTGCAAGGGAAGCTTTTTAAAGATAAGGGAAAGACAAGGAGACTCAGTGTCTTCATCTTAAAATAGATATGTAGGCATCCCCAACTCATGTTCTAAAGTTTCATAACATGGAACAGCTTTCCACAAAAACAATGCTATGTGCAAGAAAGAGGTTACCACACCTTCCATGATGCCAGTTTAGCACAGAATCTACCTCCAGCATGATTCACACAATTTGAAATAAGCATCACCTGCAATGATGTTTCCATAGGGAGTACATTGGGCTTTCCAACTTCTAATATGGAATTTCTCCAGTTGAAGTCAAGACAGAGAAGGAAAAGATAACACCCTCTTTGCTCCCCCTCCAACCTGCAGACCAAATCTCTGGACAGTGATTGCTCAGAGCTCCTGTGGCCTCTCTCCTGCAAACAGGGTAGGAGAGAGAGATCCACGCGCAGGGAACATCCAGGAGTCCAGGGGGAAAGGAAGGATTTGGGAGACATCTATGACACAGGAGGTGCTGCTGGGATTGGAGACTCAAATAATGTCAAGGGTCGTGTAGAGCAGAATGGGGATTAAAGAATAATATAGCCAACCTATAGAAGCAAGGGCTTCCTGGGCTCTAAGAGCTTTATGGGGGGGCAGGGGGAGTCATCCAGACCCCCCCCCCATATGAGTAGGCACTGTTATAGGAAACTGAGGGATGGACAGAGAGGCTAAGCAACTTGCCTAAAATGAGAGAAACTTGCTAGTGAGAAATTTGCTCTTCATAACTTTATCCTTCAGCTTCCAGGAGGGTTTTTCCTACTTCTAGCCCATACCCTTGTGGGTAATGTTGCTCATCACAATTTGAACCTTCTCCTGTGTTTGGAGGCTGGAAAGCTAAAAACAGCACTCCCAGGGGATTCTCCTGGAGCTGGGTTCTGGATGCCAACTGGGTTTGCAAATAAGAAATACTTGCATAAGATAAGGAAGTTGGCAAGTAAGGAGGAGGCTGCCTTCTTGTGGCCTGCGGGGAGGGCAATTCCAGAGTTTTGCCCTGTCTGGCGCCCTGCGTGCCAAGAAATGGCCATGTAGGGAGTGGGACTGCATTCCTTCTCTCCTTGAGCTGTGCAGCAGCAGTGTGGGCTTCAAACTCAGCCACGCTATTGGCAGCTTCCTCCAAGCCCAGCCTAGGGCCTGCTGCTGCACCCTTAACAGCTTAGATTAGCACCTAATGTCCTGGGCGCAAGTTCCCTTCCTTATAATACCTGGGGTGGTGCTTAATTCTTACCCTGAACCCCAACTGATAGTCTTCTTCTTTCTCATCCTTTCCCCTATGACAGTCAGAGGGAAGTAGGCAAAGAACTTGGACAAACCCACTCATTCATTTGCTCATTCACGCAACATAGACATATACCTATTATTCCCTAGGAACTGGGCCAGATAACTTCCTCCCACCCTCCATCCCTTCAGGGACCCTTACTAGGATGGGATAGTAAGAGAAAAACCAAGTGGGGAGGGAGGCACTTGTGGTTTTGTCTGCTGTTCTCTCTCCCTGAAATGTGCTGCCTCCTCCCTGTGTCTGCCTGGCAGGTTCCCAACACTGTTCAGGTACCTCCCTACTGCCTCTCCAGACCAGGATCTGCACCCAGGCAGCTGACACCACAGCCCCTGTCCTCGACCACCAGGAAGGAGAAAGGGTTGGTTGCACAGAATAAAGAAGGGAAGTGACAGGGTCCAGATAGGAGGTCAGTCCCTGGAGCACACGCACCTAAGCCAGAGCCCGGCTTGTTAAACTGCAGGCCACACAGTTCTTCCAGAAAGAACCTCTGGATTTCCTCAAGAGGAAATTAACCTTGGGGACTGAGATCACTACAACAGGTGCTGTCCACTTACCTAGGCAGATAGGAAATGAATAGAAACCCACACGGCAGGCGTCACACCGAGGGCCCTCAACGCCCGGGCGGCAAAGGCACCTTCCCTGGGCATCACATATATGAGGGAGCACTCCTTCCAGGTTACAGTCACACCCTGCAAGAGAGAAGGAGCTGTCAGAGTGGGGGGCTCCACTCGCTATTCCTTTGCCAGTTTCGTCTTTTCCCCAGTTATCTGACATGGAAACATAGATTATAAGTTATCTAAGGTTTATGGACCTTCTTAACCTGAAAAGACTATATTTTAGAGGGAAATAAAATAGTCCACAAAGGTATTACTGGATGGTCTCACTCATAGCAGGAATTTAGAAAACCTAAATAAGGGACCAGGAAAAAGACTAACTATAATAAAGTAAAAATCAAAATCAACAAGTAACTATAAACCAGAGACATACTACCGGGGGGTGGGAGGGAAGAGAAAGGATTAGGGTCAAAATAAAGGGGGGTGCAATTGTATGGAGAATATAACCAAAATGAAAATGCATACATTGTGCAAAGATGAAAAATTATGTAAGAATTACATAAAATAAAATATTAAAAAAATAGCCCACAAAGGCAAAGATGCTATTAAGAAACCAGAGATACCAGAGTGAATACTAGTTTGCAAAACAGTTATAATCTGTTAACATCTACCCCTGAGCCTTGTTTGGCAAAACTTTAATAGATTCCCAACTAGTGGCAATCTTGAATTAAACATATATCTACTTTCCATTTTTTAGAAGAAGAGAACATAAATTCAGTCCTACTATGTGCCAGATGGGGCTTTAGGAGGCTTCATTCATACTGCCTCACTCAATTCTCCAGGCCTGATGCCATCTCAGTAACCAGGCTGCTTCCAATTCCTCATACAGGTGCTTTCCCACCTCTACATCCTTGATCTGGCTCTTCCCTCTGCCTGTGATGCCCTGTCTGGTCCTTTCTCATCCTTCACCTCTCAGTTCAAAGTCAACTCCTCAGGAAGGCCTCCCCAGGTTGTACCAGGAGACGCCCTTATGTCCACACCTTATCCCCTCTCTCAGCTGGCTTTGTCTTTCACACTTTAATTGCTGACATCCCTCTGTGGCCTCATGACATGCTTTGACCATTGGGAGGAGGTGTAGGTACTGTAGTGGTATTTCTGAGCGCAGGTCACAACAGGCTTTGAGGTTTCCATTCTCACCCTCTGGGAAGTCCAACAGAAATTTCAGCAAATGCAGCAGAAAGACCATCCAGTCAACACTCAGAGTTGTGAGAAACCACCCTGTTTGAAGGTCACTAAGTTTTGGGATGATTTGTAGAACAGCAATAGATGAGTGAGCCACCTATAAGGCTGAAAACTTAGGGCTCCTCCTGCCATCACACAGTATTTCTCAAGAAGTAAATATTTCTCAGAAATATAGGGTTCATGCTTAACTCTTTATAAATGGACAAATATATGTCAAACACAGAGCCTCCAAAACTGAGATACCAGAATTTGCCTGTCTAAGCCTTATCAGGCAGATCTCTATCACCCCACCCTGCCAGACAGATGAAATGCCCAGCCTGGAGGGAGAGAGGGAGGGAAGGTAGTAGGGCATGGCCAGGAAAGCCTGCCCCCACTGTTGTCATCGCCTCTCAGATTTTTCATCTTCAGCAAGTCCCCAGCCCCAGACAAACTGACCTCCATGTTGGCAATGACTAGTAGCTCCTTCCAAAGTGATTAGGGGAATCAAAACCTTTCCATATTATTTGTCAAGAACCCCCTAGGCAGCTACGTCTTTAGGGTAATTAGACTGCTTTACATAATCACCCCAAGATTTGATCAGTCTCCTGAAGTAAGCACCTACAGTTTTCCCACAGCTGTTGATTTTGTTTGCCATTGCTCTGGTCTTGAAGGAATAAAAGTACACATATACCTAGTATCTCTCTCGAGTGCATGCTGTCACTTTCAAAATAAGCCCTTGAAGGTGACGTGTCTATTATATATTAATTCCAAAAAATACATCTTAAGATGAACACTCAGACCCAGAACATATTTACTATATTCAAGGTCATGAAATATAATGAAATCCTGAAAACATACTGATCAGCAAAATGCTTCTATCCTTTGCTCCAACTCTTCAATGTCTGGAATTAGGGATATGGATTTTCTAGCCCAGTAATTCTCAATGTTGGCTGCACACTTAAATTTCCTGGGAAAAATATCATTACCTGGGTGTGGGGTCCCAGACTAAGAGATTCCAATACAACCCCAGAAGTTGTAAACTATGGTCTAGGGGCCAAATCCATTCCTGTTTTGGTAAAAACCATTTTACTGGAACACAGCCAAACTCATGCCTTTACAACAGGAAAGTTGAGTTCTTACAACTTTGCCTATAAAGTCGAAAAGACTTACTATATGGCCCTTTACAGGAGTTTCTCAACTACCTAAATGAAAATTTCTACTAATAGAGAAGCAATTCTTAACACAAGCTGCACATCAGAATTATCTGGAAAACTTGTTCAAATTAAATGCCTCAGCTTCACCCCTGAAAACCTAAGATCTGGGGTGACACACAGGAATGTATATGCTATGGAAGGAAGAGAGGTTAAAACACAGTTCTGATTGAAAAGCACTGTGGTAGAGGACATGAAAGCACCGACAGGCTTTAAAGAATGAATTACTCACAGGGGAGGGTGTTTGCATTGTTCTGTGCTGTGTATCTTTTGGCAGTTGAGACAGTTTTCTTCTAATGTACACTGCCAGCAGTGAGACCCCACAATGTGTGCTTTTAAAATGCATTAATGGAAGACCAAATTGAAGTGAATATCTGTGCATTCAAATTCCCAAATAATTCCAATTTCACTAATTGAAACTACTTTTCCTCCAGGCTGTGTCTAATATTTTGTAACAGACGTCTGGACTTCCCTTCAAGTTCAATTAAGTTTCTTTTGTTGAAGTCACCAGCAATCTGAGGGAGAAAAAGGAATTGAGTAACAAAGAGATTACTGTAAACAGACAGTAAGTGGGAGATCTGAAACATTCTTGTGGAAGAAAAGCAGAGATGCATATGGTAATCAAGGCTCAAAAGCTGACTTCCATTCTTGTCAATTAACATTTAAAGAAAGGCTGGCTGATGCCCACAATGGGCAGGATGCCAGGGCAGAGACTGGGGGTTAGATACCCATAGAAGCATGGCTGCCGTCAGCAAGTGACTGAGTGTTGAAGAAGGCTTAAGACAACACCCCACATAATGACACAGAGCACCAGGGTTTGATCATAAGAGCTGGGTTTGGATTAGGCAGAAGTAGGAAAGAGCATAGGAAGGGAAACTGGATCTCTTGCAACTGACCTCAGCGAAGCCCTTTATGTTGCCCCCAAATCCTATAATATCCCCCAAGTCCAGTCACTCCCCATGTTGTTTGGGGATGACACTCACACTCTCTCCTCGACTCCCAGGTCCCCCATCCTCCCTTTCAGCCCAGATCTTGGTTTTTATTTCACAGAGAAAAATAGTAAAAACCAGAAGAGAGCCTCCACAGGTTCCCACCACGACCTCTGCTTGTCCCTCCCCCAGGCCACATGCTCCTCCTCCTCATTTAAGGTGGCCTCTGGGTCAGTACAGGGCAGTGTCTTCCTTGTTTGCTCCATCAAAAAGCCTTGGAGTCACTCCCTAGTACACTTCCAGGCCTGTGGGCTCTACCTTCGATATAGTCACAATCCATCTCCTTCTTGTCGCCTCTACAGACAACATCCAAGTATCTGGACTCTTCCTCATGAATGATCAAAATAGCTTCTTCTCTTCTCTCCATTTAATCAGTTTTCAACACAATAGCTGCAAAAATCCTTGTGCAATGTCGTTCTCTATACCAAATCCTCCCTGGCTCCCTCCTCACTCAGAGTAAAAGCTGAGTCCACGACCTGATTCCCCAGAATTTCCTCTCCTGTCCCCTTTGCTCACTCAGCTTTCACATCTTGGTCTCCCTTTGGTTCCGTGAACATCCCTGACATGCTCCTGTCCCAAGGACTTCGTGCTTGCTCTCTCCTGCTTCTGGATGCTTCTCTAGAGACACCTGCATGACTCACCCCTACCCCTTCTGGTCCTTGTTTAGTTATCTCCTCAATGAGATCTTCCCTGACTTCCCTAGAGAGAGAGCGTGCTCAGGTGGACTGCATTCTAAATCTGTGAAGGATCTAAGGAGGTAAGACACAGATACCTCAAGTTTCCAAATAAGCCAGTTGCAATATTTTGGCTAATACAGAAAAAGATAAATAAACATCCACTGTATTTAAATTTGCAAACCACACCATTCCCTTCTCCCTCTGGGTCTCGTTTTCCCCATGTACTCGTGGCCAAGGCTGCCTCTGGCCCATACCCTGATGCCATACTGTTGCAGAACCTGAACTCTTCCACCCAGGAGAACTCTGCAGAAACCATTTTCTTGTCTAGTCAAATATCCCTTCTCTGCCCACCCTCACCTTGGACATGCCGCAAGAAAGGGTACATGTGTTCATACACCTCGAACTGCCTCCACCCCAACAGGTGAGCATGTGGCCATCAGGTCCTTCCAGGCATCCTGGGGGACTGGAAGCAAAGTCAGTGGGTGACCCTAGCATGACCTAGATGGGGCACAGGCGTGGGCTGTTTGCATTCGGTGTGCCCTTACGTTCGTGCAGGCATGCCATTCTTAATGTGTGCATTCTTGTGTGTGTTCCCTTATGGGTTTATGTAGGAAACTACCCACAGCTCCAGAAGTGAACCTACAGGTCTGGGATCTTCTCATATATGTCAGGTTATGCGATTCGTGTAAATGGTTCCACCTTAAAAGCAGCATCCTTGTGTAGGACACAACCCTTCATATCATAATGTAATGACTAGAGATTTTACCTGTTCAGTAGTTACATATTGCACATGTTATAGTATGAGACCCCACCCCCCACCCCAATGAAATATAGCTCCTGGGAATTTTTTCCTATTCTGTTCATTGATAAGAACAGAAAGGTGGTGTCCAAATAATAGGAGCTCAAGAAATACTTGCAGACCAAGTGAATAGGTAGGTGTAGCACCCACACCTGCTCGTTACTCACCTCTCCAACCCAAAGTCAGCTTACTGCACCCCTGCTACTCTCTGCCCAGGAATACTTAGCTGGCTATAGGAATTTCTTAGCCTTTCTGTAAGTCAAGCTGTAGTGCCGAAAGAGTTAATGCCCAGAAGCAGCCCTCCACCAAAATCAGGTAGCTGAAGTAATCCCTTCAGATGAGATAATTCAGAGCATGTTTGACAATGGAGTGACTTAGGAGGGACAAAGCTCCAGGTGCTAAGGGAGGACACTGCTAATGCATCTTCACTATGGGTCCCTTCACTTCCTCATCCACTCCCGAACTGGAGTTCCTTGGGACCAAGGAAATAAACTGCGGGAAATAAACCCGCAAATAAACTGCTTGTACTCAATTCTCTTCTGGGAGTTTCTTTCTAGAGAATGCAAATAAGACAGTAGACTGACTGCCACTGAAGGTTTTTGAGCAAAGTAGTGACCTATGACCCAAGATCTGCTTCATTTCCTTAGTCAGGTCTTGCCGTTGCAAGACCATGATGGAATAGACCATGATAGGGGCGAGGAGCCCAAATAGGAGACACCTGCAAGGCGCCTGAATCCTCCCCTAACATGATTTGAACTTGTGCATAGTAATAATGCACAGGAAGTGGGGGGAAAAAAAAACAGAGCATAGATTTTCACTGAAAGGTTAGCCAACAGAGAGGTTGCTTACCTTTTATTTCTCCAGCTTCTGGATCATCTGGACTAGGAGTAGAAATAGCAGCAATGGGAATTCCTAGAGCAATGGTTTATTAAAATATACAGAGAAGGATTAAGGAAACAATAAGGTAAAACATTACATTTCACTAACTAGGAGAAAGCCTCCTCTAATTTAGTGAAAAGAAACATGTGGAAACTAATATAAAGAAAGGCAGTACTACCATATTCAAAATACATCTAATAAATGAAACTAGATACTGATTTATGTATTACTGAGCAGAAATGGACATTTCATATTCCTAAGAGTTAAATCTAAACAGGGGTTTAGATTTAAATCTAAACATTGGGTTTCATTTGCATCTTTGTTGGTTTTTAATGTAAAAGTGAGATTAGTTTTTTTTAAGTTTCTTTCCTGAAAATTTTGTTGATACCATAAAATTGCTTCAAGTTTCTTCTTTCACTAAAAAGGCAAATGCAATTTCTGCTCAGCCTCCAGCTGGTAGTTACAGATTCTAAATGGACTAAGCCCTGATTCAGCGTCATTCTGTTTGAACTGAAAATTTTGCTCCCTTTAAATATACAATAATTATGTAATGTTTCATCCAAAGCAGGACACTTGGGGGTGAGAGTGGGGCTAGTTAAATCATTACCCTGGGGCAGCTGGTGTGAGCTAGTACATACAGCCACCCACTCACATGTGTCCTGCCCCAGGTCTCCACAAATCACTGTGCTCTTCCTGTGACTGTAGACCGTGAGGGTGGGGATGAACAAGCACCCAGGGAGCAGGGGGTGGAGGGTGTCACCTGTTGAGAGTCTTTGTCTTAGCACCAAGGCAAAGGGAGCCATGGCTCTTAACATCACTTGCATAGTGGATTTCACAGGCCCTCCTGCTGCATGTTCTATGGTATTTCTGATGGATACATAATTTTATCTTCTAGATGCTGAGATGTTCACTTAGATAATGGTAGTGGTGTGAGGTAGGTCCTGTGGTAACTTGGCCTCTCTTAAGCACAGCAGAAAGGGGAAAACAACCCTCTTTGGACACCCAAAACATGTAGAAGCCCTGATATTTCTTTGAGGTTAATGAGGAAAAATTACACACATGGATTACTGTCGAATTGAAATTGTCAATATTTGACCCTAACACTTAAATAAGACTATAAAGCATACTGATAACCTTCAGGATCAAACACTTTCTTATTAATACAACCTTCCTAATGCATGCTCTGTGCCCACCCCTTGCCCTGGTGTAATGCACAAAATCCAGCTTGAGCCAAGAAGGGAGACCTCTCCTGCCACAGGGGCACTTACTCAGGCAAACCGGAAAGTTGTAGTATCCTGCCGCACACTCCTCGCAGTTGTCTCCGCGGAAATTGGGCTTGCAGTTACAGCGGCCGGAGCCTTGCTCACAATCAACCGCGTGCTCAGGGTTACAGCTGCAAGCTGAAAGAAGTCCCAATTTCCAAAGGATCAGGCCTTCATTGCACTTAATGAGGCACACAAGTCCAAAACTTTGTCATCACTCTACGGTTATGCTTGAAAGCACAAGGCCTGTTTCACTGCATCCCTGGTAGATGGTGCACACTGAACCTCAGAGGTAAGCTCTGATGAGCAGCCACACTGAGATGTGCTCAAGAATGTAGTTCATTACATGAGCACTGCCCAGCTCACCGGGTAAAGGGGCAAAGCCTGCACAGACTACAATCAGAGGGGCTGGGTGAGTGTGTGCTACAGCTCCTGCTGGGCACAGCCTCTCCTGCCCGGGAGCCAAGTGTGAACATCCACACAGGGCTCATTGTTACACAGCCGCTATGTGTGATGGGGGGTGACTAGGTACTGATAGGGCATCTTGGACAGTGCTGCAAGATTGCACCCATAACCCAAATGTTAAATTTGACTGATAGAGCTTACTGAAGGCATTTTTTGTGCAAACCAACAAGACTATTTGGCTTGCATTTCAAAGGGATATACTTGGGGTATTAGAGGTTTGGTCACACAACACACACACATACACATTTGGGAGCTTTCCTTGACCTGGAAAAGAAAATAGTGGCATAGATCAGCTGAGTACATGCCCCAGGAGGACCTGGGAGACTGCTAAAGCTGTGAACATGAAGCATCTCTCCAGCTGACCTTCTCCTGGGTCCTTTGCTTAATTTATCTAGGATTCGTATGTCCTGTGGATACTTTGTCCTCAACCTCTAGTATCTCCACAAGGCCACTTCAGTAATAATAATTTAAAAACTAGAAAAGTGGTGGAGAGTTGAGACTCCTACCCTACGGGACTGCATTCACTATGTCCTGCTTCCTTCACCATTGCCCATTCTTCACGGGCACTAGGAAAGTGATGGGCATGACATGGAAGAGGGTGGGGAAACAGACACAGTGCTAACCACTAAGAGTGCCACAGAGAGAAGTAAATCAGGGTTCACAAATTCTTTGGCTTTTGATGCCCATAATTTAATGATATGATGAATAAATTTTGGAGGACAGTGGACACAGAAATCAACTTAAGGATGGAAATTGTTTCCCAACTGTGATATCCAGAGAACGTACCAGAACTGTACAGATCACCCATACAGGGCAAAGTTCATGATATGACCTATGACTGATAACTCTGCTGGGAAAGCGAGTGGCATTCTTCTGGATGATGGATGTGGGCAGAGGCACCAGACAGACATGAACCACTTCTTGGACCAACCAGTTATTGTATTTTTCACTGAGTCAAAATATTTAACTACTCATCCTCTTTGGCTTCCCCATATTTAACAGAATAAAAATGAATGTCCTATGTATGTTATGATTTAAATAAGGCATTTCTAAAAGTATTTAGAGAGTGCCTTGCATATAACAAGTGCCCAATAGTTATTTTAAATATTTTAAGTAATTCCTTGTGAAATCATTACCATGTTAACTTGATGGTATTCTGATGAAATCCAAAACTGTTGGCGATCATAAAAAAATGTCAAAACAACAGGAAATGGAGGAACTAATATTTATTGCATGTCCAGTATATGAAGGGCTCAAAGCTCAGTGTCTTCCAAGCTTCCTAGGTGTTTTTGATGTCATTTCACCTCAGGGAATATATTATCTTTTCTGTTTATATGTAAAAAAAAAAAATGTGAAGCTCAGCAAGACTGTAACTGACTGACAGAGCTAGTAAGGAGCAGAACCAATAAGAAGAGAAAGAGAATGAGGAGAACTACTAACCAGTCAGAATTTTGCTTAATAACATCCCTCAGGCAATATTCAGAGGTAAAGAGCCACCAAATCGGGATGAAACTTACGGGTGCAGCCATGGGGGGCATCAACTGGAACACCATATGGGCGGAAAAAGCCTTTAGCACATTTTTCACAGTTTATGCCAGCTGTGTTATGCTGGAAAGAAACAAAAGAAACTTAGGAAGAATGTAAGAGTTCTTATTTTGTGTAATTCATACAAGAGAAATACTTCTGTCATATACTTCTGTAAATTTAGTCTCTGAAAAAAAAAATGTTGGTCTTGACCTTGAGTCTCCTAGATTTAGCACAGGACACAGACTTAATATTGAATCTGGAGTTTTTTGTCCACTGGAAGAAAATGAGGGTGACTTCCATGAACTGGAGAGCCCAGATTTTCTCCTCCACCATTTGCTCAATAAGACACCTGATCCTTGAGTGAAAACTCCAAATGTTCAGTCTTCATGGTTTCATTCAGAAGAACTGAAGAATGGAGAAAAAATTACCCTCAGGTTTAACCCAAGGAATAAAGAAAAGGTCATGTGTGTATTTTTAGCTTCTTCAACTTTGAAAGAAATAGCACATACAGATCCTTTTCTTTCAGAATTCTAATTTTATCTGTGCTTTAGTCATGAAACTGTTTCTATTACATGAACAGAAAATATAGGAATGAATCTCACACATAGAACTCATTTAAAGTACAATAGTCGGGGAGTTTTCATATTTCATGGTTAATCCCTGTAATTGCCACACAATCAAATTACCCAACATGCATCATCAGTTTCCAAGAACTACATGACATGGATCTAGCTCAATTCTGCCTCTCTTTTTCTAATTTGGAAACAATTAGGAGGACAGTGTTCTTTCATTAGTAAAAGGAAAGGCAATAGGAAATTAAAAGGAAAAAATATGACATACTCTGACCCAAAAAGAATCACCACAGAAACACAGTGGGGAGAACAAAGACCCTTTCTGTATCCTCTCCCCAATTTTAGATTATTTTTATTAATTACAGATTTTACTTATTACCACCCTTTGTCTGGGGGCTAAAATCTGAATCCACTTTAACAGTGAGGTCTATAACCACAATGGCCCACTTCTCTGACTTAACATTTATATGCATAAAAACATTTTGGACCAATAAGAAACAGTTGTAGTCTACCCCCTCTTCTATCCAATGCCAATTAACCTCAACTCTGTTGCTTGCCATTGTGACTTATTACAGACAAAGGACAGCAGGTTAAACTTGGTTCCCCAGTTTTTCCTAATTGGAGGAAGAAAAGGGGGAAAGTTCTCTAAAGTGGGACCCCAGTGGGGGTTTCCCCTCTCTCACAAATTTTGGTCAGTGAAGCATCTGACACAGAGAAGTAATATTTTTAAGATGATCAAAAGAGTAACAAGTAACTCTGCAGATGGAACAATACCTGTAATATGTTTTCAAATATTGGCTTCTCTAAAACCCCAGCACCCTGAGGGGAAGAACACACCAATTTAAGCACAGACACTATGGCCGTGGTTAGACCAAGGCCAGATGGAGACCCAAGGCCAGATGGCTCCATAATTTCTATCCTGGAGGCCCTGGGGGAAGCAAGCACATTGGGACAGATGGGTACTTGAGTTTGCATTTGCATAACACTTAAAATGAGAAAACCTCAATGGCCCAAGCCAAACTGTAGGGAGGGCACTTCTGGGAACCATGCAGGAGATAATGACCTCAACCCACAAATGCACACATCCCCTTTCCTATGCCTATGTTGATACTATACTTCTTTGACTCCTGTAGCTTTCTTGCTAGTTTTGAAGTAAGATAGCATATGTTCTCCAACTTCATTGTGTTTCTTCCAAACAGTTTTGGGTATGTCTAGGGTTTTGACATCCCTATAAAATTATAATGTGCCTTGGCAATTTCTGTGTAAAAATCTGCATAAAAGCTTCAGATTAATTTGTGGAAAACTGGCATCTTAATAAATATATTAAGATTTATTTATAAAAACATTATTAAGATTTATTTATAAAAACATTTCTGGGCAATGTTTTTTAGCTTTAGTACAGAGGCCTTGCATGTCCTTTGTTAAATTTATTTTTAAACATTTCCTATTGTTGACACTATTTTAAATTGAAGTTTTATTCCATCTTCTTATTGTTTGTTGCTAGCATAATTTTTACATATTATCCTTGAATCCTGTAATTTTACTAAATTCAGTTATTAATTTTAGTGGTTGTTTTGCATATTTCTTAAATTTTTTTTTAATATAGCAGCCATGTTGTCTATAAATAGAGGCATTTCTACATCTTCCTTCCCAATTTTAATGCCTTTTCTTTCTTTCTCCTGCCATATTGCAATGGTTAGGACCCCCAGGGCACCATTTAAAAGAAGTGGTAAAAAGCAAGTATTCTTGCCACAACCCAAATCTTTAAAAACCAATATTTCAATATTTGATCTCTAACATGATCTTAGTTGTAGGTTCTTCATAAATGCCCCTCATCAGATTGCAGAAATTCACTTCTATTCCTAGTTTGCTAAGAGTTTTTATCATAAAACAGGTATTGGTTTTTTCTAATGAATTTTCACATGATTCTTTTCACTTATTCTTGTTAATATGATTAATTATACAGATTGGTTTTGAATATTCAAAACAGTGCTTTCCTTGGATAAACCTCACTCATCTAATAAATTGCTGAATTCTACTTTCTAACTATAAGTACATGTTTTTTGAATCTATAATGTTCATGAGAGTTACAGGCCAGTGATTTTATTTTATGTAATGTCAGTCAGATTTTGGGATTAAGGTTTAAACTAGCCTTATCATCACCAAGTTGGGAAATGTTCTTCCCTATTTTCTGAAAAATCGTGCATAAAATTGTTGGTGTTTCTTACTTAAATATTTAATAAAATTTGCCAGTAAAACCATCTGGGCCTGACACTTTTTTGGTCAGAAAATTTTGATAATAAATTTAATTTCTTACATAGGTACCAGATTATTCAAATGTTCTATTTCATCTTGTATCAATTCTAGAAAGTTATAGTTCTCAAGAAACTTGTCCATTTAACCCAGGTTATCAATTTTGCTGGCATAGAGTTGTTCATAGTATTCTTTTATATTGCTTTTAATGTCTAGTGCTAAATCCTTATTTGTATGTGGTATTGGTAACTTTTAACCACCTCCTTTTTCCTAACCAGTATAGCTGAGAGCTTATGAATTTTGTCAAACTTTTCTATAGCTCAGCTTTTGGCTTTGTTAATTTTCTCTATTTTTTTTTTTTTTTTACTGTTTTATGTTGAATTCTGTTCTTATATTTATTGCTTTCTTCCTTCTACCTACCTGCTCTGCTTTTACTAACTTCTTAAGGTTGAACTATGGGTCACCAATTTTAGATTTCTTTTTAAAGCTATGGATTTCAGGCCTCCCCAGTGGCACAGTGGTTGAGCGCTGGGTTGTGGGGCTTCCTGCAGCCTCTGCAGTGCTGGTTTGATCCCCAGCTGCTGGGTGAGGGTCCCACATGGCATGGAGCACAGACCTCTCCTGTAGTGCCTACTGCTCCCCTCAGCAGTGTACTTCCTCACTCTACCTGTTCTGCTCTCCGCTTTGGCTCTGATGAATTCTCTCACCCTCCTGCGCTTCTGACTGTACCCAGTGCTAGTATAAATAAAATAAATCTTAAAAAAATAAATAAAAAATAAAGCTATGGATTTCTCTTTAAGCACTGCATTAGTTGTATCCTACAATTTTTCATGTATTGTGTTTTCATGATTAAAATTTAATTTAAAATTTAAATTTAAATCTTTTAATCTTTTTTAGAAATCTTTTCTAATTTCCCTTATGATTTCATCTTTTACTGTGGATTATTTAGAAGTATTTTATTTCAAATACTGAAGGTTTTCCCAATAATACTGACTTCCAATTTAACTCCATGTTTGTCAGAAAACATGCTCTATAGCTATATGAATTTAATCATTTTTAAAGTGACAGAACTTACATCATAGCCCAAACTTATGTTTATCTTGTTGAATGTATCATGTGTACTTTAAATAATGTGTAGTCTGTATTTGTTGAAATAGTGTTCTATAGGTATCAATTAAGGCAAGGTGTTTAACAATGTCATTCTATCCTTCTAATGTTTTGTGTATGAAAGTGGGGAAAACCGTCTCAGAAAATACTTCCAATTGTATATCACTTTCTTGGCATCTTTTAGGAGCAGGCTTACTAAATGCTCTGTCCTATAATGACAAATCCATTTTGGTCTAAACTGTGCCTCACCTGGCAATTAATGCAGACCCCTCCACCTGCATAGATGCCCTGGATATTCAAGCTTGCCTGCTTTCTCTCAACATCTGGATCATAGTAACAGTCGATGGCGTGACCATGGCAGTTGCATGCTGAAAAAAAATCATTCCAAATTAATATCCAATCATTACTGTGAGACACTTTGCAAATACTCCCAGTGTTACTGCTCATGGAACTACAAAAATATCTGTTGTAAAATATCCTCAGTAAATATTCTCAGTAGAAAATATTAGGAATTTTTACACAAAGAAAGGTCTATAGTAAAAAGCAATTAGCAGTTTCTTTCATTTTTATTAAGTGGGAGAGATTTCTCTTTTTAAAAATGTTATATAATTACAACAAATTAAGATAAACTACACAGCCAGTTAAATATCATGTGCAAAAAGGATATTACCACTAACAAGAATAACTGAACTCTTGGTATACTTTGAAAGTGTTTTACATTTAAGATTTCATTTAATCTGCACAATAATTCTCTAATATGGGTATTTTTGTCCCTGTAGCCCAGATGAGGAGGCTGAGACTTAGAGAGATTAAAGGATATGCCCAGAGTTATACAGTCTATAAGTAACAGAGATAGAATCCTGACTTACGTTTGTTCTACTCCAAAACCTATTCTCTCAACCAATACTCCAAGTCTTTCATTCTCAGCACTATTTATAATATTAATAAATTGGAAGTGAGCTTAATGTATAATTATAGAAAACAGTTAAGCAAACAACCATATATTTTCTTAACAGTCAGTTCCCTGGAACTTCTCACATTTGGATACAATAGAACACACATCCCAGCCTGTAGTAGCACTCAGCAAGCACTTGCTGGATATATGTAATCCATCAAATGAAAACACTATGTGGCATGAAAAAGGATGTCAAAGAGTTTTTAGTAAATGGGGAAAATACTATAAAATATCAAATCAAAAAGATCAGGATATAAAATTGTGTATATATATAATACAACCATACGTGTTTAAAGTATGTGTGGAAAAAAACACTAAAAATATCTGACAAAATAGTAGAGTGGTTCTCTTCAGAAAATAAACAAATTTTGGTGCTTTTACTTTGCTTTTTAAAATATCCAAGTTCTCTGTCAATATATGTAATACTTCTGAAATTTGAAAATGTAATTTAAACCCCATTTAGGATTATCATCATAGCCAATTTTTAAAAATTAACGAGCTTTTTCTTAGACACGATTTATATTCATTACATTCCACCTAGATCAAATTTTCCAAGACTTTACAAAAATTCTGCTTTAATCAAGTCCCTAGATAAACATACTAGGTAAGAAAATTGCCTAGGCCCCTCTCCCCAGCACTCACCTTCACACTCATGGCTCTGCTCCCGTGTGGCAGGCTGCCAGTGCTTCTGGTGGTACCCAACACAACAGTGATCACACGTCTGTCCACAGGTGTGGTGCTGGCACTCACACCGAAACCTGTCGGAGCAAATCTCAGTTACTGGAAAGTCTTAATTAAGAGGGGAGGAATGAAATATTGTACAAAAATGAACAATGATGTAAGAAATTTTTTAAAACTAAAATAAATAAATGAGTAAATTGCAATATCACAAAAAGAAGAGATCAGTTTCTGTGTTAAAAACTAACACACTCATACAGTCATCATGGTTGCCCTTTGTACCACTTACCATTTACTGAGTAATTGAGATAACAAAGCACTTTGCATATATTATTTTAATGTCCTCTTTCATTCAACCTATTATCGCCATCTTACAGAGGGTGACATTAAGATTCAGAGATGTTAAAATACTTGTCAAATGTCAAATGATGATAGAGGACAGAGGCTAAATTGACATTTGTCTAACTCAAAAGTCCTAGCTCTTGGGGCCTCCCCGGTGGCGCAGCGGTTGAGCGCTGAGTTGCGAAGCTGCCCACAGCCTCTGCAACGCCGGTTCGATCCCCGGCTGCTCCCTGGCTGCTCCCCAGCCACCAGAGGAGGGTTCCGCATGGCGCGCAGACCTCTCCTGCCGCCCGCTGCTCCCCTCAGCGGTGTACTTCAGTCCTTCTGCCTGCTCTGCTCCCCGCTCTGGCTCTGGTGAATTCTCTCACCCTCCCATGCTTCTGATTGTGCCCAGTGCTTGTATAAATAAACAAACAAACAAATAAATAAATAAATCTTTAAAAATAAAAAAAAAGTCCCAGCTCTTTTTCCCCACCACTGTATATCACAATAAATGAACACATGAGCAAGCAAGTGCTGAGTTTACTGAGCTGTGTTGATCTGGAGTAGTCTATCAAAAGATCTGCTCAGGTTTCCTGCTCAGTCTTGGGTCAGGCACAGAGTCACCAAATCCAAGAGACAGTTGCGAACACAATCTCAGAGGATGTTGTTCCACAAGGGTCTGCCCACTCAAGCAAACAGCTCTGTACAACTCTCATCGGGAGATTTACATGAGCATAACAAAATAAAGGGGGGGAGGATACTTGTCTGAATGATACTGGCACCCCCAAATAATTGCTTTTTCTGACACTTAAGTCCAGGCCCATCTAGAAAACTCATCCTCACATCTACTGTGAGAATATTGTTGAAAATGTTAACTGGAGAATCCTCTTCATGATGAACATCACCTGACACTAAGGGAAATTCCTTATCTGACCCTAGTGTCAAGTTTCTCCTAAGCAACTTTTTAGATTATAGTCATAGTGAAAGATGAAGCTGAGCAGGTTTCTCTTTTTGAGTTGAAAAAGGAAGCTGCTAGGAAGCTCAGAATTAAATCTGTGCTCAACCCATGCATCAAGGTCAGCATACTTGATTAAAGTCCTCTTCTGCTTCTTCATGTGTTCTGCTTGATTTATACTAACTTTTCTGATGCCCTTCATTAAGTCACTGAATCCCCTTAAATATGAGATTTTTTCCCTCATCATAGAAGTCTCTACGAATCATGTGCAGATCAGCCTGTTGTGCAGAAGCAACCAGCAAGCAGGCAGTGTAGACTGGTGGTAAACTACACCTTTCAGAGAGGCATGGGGAGATGGCCACTCCACGTGCAAATATTGGGAGCAATTACCTACTCAGTTTAAAACTCCTCCTGGTCTCCCAGGGTCAACAGGGTTGGGCAGTTCTCCCAAGTAGGAAGTTCAGACCCTCTCAGATGGCTTCAACTCCTTTTCCAAATGGCACCATTTTCAGACTCACTAGACTGACCTTCTCTCCTCTTTCTCTCCAATTCAGGACTTTCCTGACCTGACAACTTGTATAGTAGGACCCTTCCCTCCAGGAAGCTATATAGAAATGATGGATTATTAATAAACAAGTCCTGCTTGTCATTTGGTGGATTCAAATTGACATTTCAGATGACGCCACCTAACTCCCGAAGGCATTCTGAGAACACTGGGGATTGTTGCTGGTCAGGGAGAAGAACTCCTCAAAGTGGAGTATGTAAGTTGGTAGCTATACCTTAGCCTGAATGGGAAGCTAAATGTATGAACCTGAATCTGGGAATTGTAGGCTTGGACTAAATGGTTGAAAGAAAATTATTACTGTATCTAACAGCTAGTAATTTCCAGCCCTTATAAGTATCCTTATTGTGGTGGTAATGTGAGTTTATACAACTGCTGAGCACTTAAATCTGAAATTCATGCACATTATTGTATGTGAAATTACCTCAATTAAAAACAAAAAAGCGTGCACCCTTTTACATGTTCTTAGCGACATCTTCACCATAACCAAAAGGTGGCAGTAACCTAAGTGTCCATCAACAGAAGGATGGATAAGCAAAATGTGATATACTCATAATGAAATGTTGTTCAGCCTTTAAAAGGGAGAAAGTTTTGGCAGATGCCTCAACAAGGATGAACCTGGAGGACATTACGCTAAGTGAAATAAACTGCTCACAAGAAAAGACAAATATTGTGTGATTCTAGTTAAAGGAAATACCTAATGTAGGTAAACTCAGAAAGTAGAGTATGGTTGTGAGGAACTCAGGGAGCGGGGAGTGGGGAGTTGTTTAATGGGTATAGAATTTCAATGTTGTAAAACGAAAAGAGTTTTGGAGACTGACTGCACAATATGAATGTATGTAAAACTATTTAACTCAGACCACTGCCGCTTAAAAATGGTTGAGATGGCAAACTTTATATGATGTGTCTTTTACTACAATTAAAAAAAAAAAGGATTTGAAAATGCATACTCCCGGTGCCATTAGACCAGAGATCCAGAGATAGCAAAAACAAGTTTTACTTCTCTTGCCAACTCTAATTAACTATTTGTGGATGCCTGGGGCACTGTCTGGAGTAAGGGGGAAAGGTTTGATGATTGCATTCCAGATCACCCATAGAGTGCTAATATTAATAAGCCATGTCTGCTATGGGCTGGTGGGGGTATGTGGAGGAAAGAGTAGGGCCCAAGGAGAAGAGACACATATTACCTATTTGTTGACGTTGAGACATTCCTGCTGAGGGCAGGAACAGAAATATTAGTGAGATGCAAACATCCACTGAGACATTAGACTTATTTACACCAAAGTTAAAAAAATTTGTACAATGCACTTACAATTTTTCAGGATTGTTTGCACTGCACACCTCAGCATGGCCATTGCAAACACACCGTCCACCAATACTGATGTCTTTTATGCTGTAATAATACTATATAACAGAAAACAGAAGAGGCCAGTTTTACAAAACAGTAACAAAAACTTTCCTTCCCTAGCTTTAACTCACATGTGTATTGTCCTTGCTTCCTTTTTATCCTCTACTCTTGAGCCTACCTCAACATAAAAGGGAGTCACATTTGAATGTGACTTGTCTTTCAAAATAAATGCATCGCTCAGTCAAGTTTAATAACATGTTATGGAAGTTGTGCATTTTAAAAAATCAAGTTCTGTAAATGTGTAGAGGGAAACTGCCTCGGGAAAGAATAACATTCTAGAGTCTTTTGGAAAAGGATTAAGTGCTTCCTAGTTATTGGAATTTTTTTAAATATAAATCTGAGTTTTATAAATTGAATATATTTATTTACAAAAACTAAATTTTTGTGCCTCAAATTTTGTACCTACTATGTGCAGGTTCTGGGAAGGGAAAAAATCTTTACACTGAGACTGGCAATGACCACAGAGACAGAGGTCCCAGTTCTTAAAGGTCAGGCAGAGCAAGCTCAGGCCCAGGGAGGACAGTCCCTAAACCAGCCCACAATATGAATGAGCCATGTCATATACAAGGCCTGCTCCTGTGCGGAGGCCTTTACACTAGTGACAGTTGGTGGCAACAGCTACCATCTCCTTTACTCTCAGACTTGGCAGAGGATACACAGGATTCCACAAGAAATATGGGGGCTGTAGAATTATCTTTTTCATTGAGGTCCTGCTGAATGCATTCACAAGGACAAGAGGGTTTTTGTTATTTTTTTGTTGTGGTAGGTTAAGAGTGTTATCTTAAAGCACCCTATTCATGCTATGGTGGGGTTCAGTTCTGATTTATTCTTCAAAAGTTGTGGTGTCTACGTTTCCTGGCAGTATCTCACCAAGTATTAAAGTATTAACAACCCTCTTGTTCATATGGAAAAATTCAGTATTAGAGAACTTTCTGCGCCAAGTTAACACTCAGAGTCTTTTGTAGCAATCCTCATGGAAGCTTCTCTCTACACATGCATTAAGGACAGCAGCAACAAAAGAGAGTAGCACTTGAAAAGACAACCCCTATCCCAGCAGCACACCTGATGTGTGTGAAGCTAGCTGGTATTCTATTCCAGAGAAGCAAACTAGATTGGGGAAGGGGGCAAGATTATATATGTGGTGCACTCCATACAAAACCATGTTCTCCTAAGGGAAAAGAAATAAACATACTTCCAAGCACAAACCTTGCAAACCACAGAAAGACAATTAAAGGAGGGAAAAGTGGTAAGAGTTATTCCTGGCCAGGTTCCAAAACACCCAGAGGAATGAGAAGGAATGGAAATTCAATCCAGCTAGGTTTATCAAAAACCAGCTCTCCCTTATAAATTCCACTCTTAGTCACCACCCATAGCAGCTCAGAGAGCCAAAGGAAATGCAGAAGCAAGGCCACATTCATACAAGATGAATACTTTTTCTGGAAAATCTTCAAAACTATAGTAAAGCTTATTTTTCTCTTTCCCTTCTTAATCCCAGATCTCTGATATTACTCTATAAGGTGGGTTGGTCTACCCGCCACGATTCTCAGTCCTGCCCTCTGTCCTGGGATGTACTTGATGGGCTGCAACAATGGGGTCTCTTGCCCTCTGGTTTCCCAGTGGGTTTAGCCAATGGAAGACCCTGAGAGCAGATCAGAAGGTAGGAGAAGAAAGGTTTTGGGGTCTTTATCCTATCCAGGAGACATGACTGCTGTCTGGCTGAGAGTGAGGGGTGGAGTAACTGAGTGATGGAGGGCTAGCACTCACTAGTAGCTATAGCTCCTCTATGTTTGCCAGGTTGCTTTACCCAGGTTCCTGCACCTAGGAGGGGCTACACACCAGATAGATAGATAGATAGATAGATAGATAGATAGATAGATAGATAGATAGATAGATAGATAGATAGATAAATGATAGATAGACAGAGATATACACTGATAGCATGTGTCCTCATTTTCTTTTGTCTCCAGGTATTTTTTTTATTGATTTCTTTTACATCATTGTTAATTTTTAAACAATATTTGCTTCCCCTCCCTGCCCCCTCAGGTGTAGTCACCGTAGAGTTTCCTTCACCAATGCACCTGTTACCATCACCTCAGTCCCCTGTGCTCCTCCCTCTCTCCCTCTGATCCCTCGCCCTCCTCCTCCCCTGCAGGATGTCTCTGATTTATAATTGTCCATTTTTGCTTTGCTATGTTTTGTATTGCTGTTATTTTTTTTACACTGATGTCTTATTTGGTTCCCCTATATTCCTGCTATAAGTGAAACCATCTGATATTTTTCTTTTTCCTTCTGGCTTATTGCACTGAGCATAATTCCTTCTAGCTCCATCCACGTTGCTGCAAATGGCATGAGTTTATCTTTTTTGATTGCTGAATAATATTCCATTGTGTATATATACCACATCTTCTTGATCCAGTCATCTATTTTTGGGCATTTTGGTTGTTTCCAGGCTTTACCTATTGTAAATAGTGCTGCAATAAACATAGGGGTACAGGTGTTCTTTTGAATCACTGTTTTTGTGTCCTTAAGGTAGATCCTTAGTAGCAGAATTGCCGGGTCATATAGTAGCTCCATTTTTAGTAGACTGAGGAACCTCCAGACAGCTTTCTATAGTGGTTGGACCAGTTTGCACTCCCACCAGCAATGTAGGAGAGTTCCTTTTCACCACATCCTCACCAACATTTGTTGTTGCTTGTTTTTTTGATATGTGCCATTCTTGCTGGTATAAGGCAGTATCTCAATGTGGGTTTTTTTGGGGGGGCTGCGGGCAGCCTCGCAGCCCTGTGCTCAACTGCTGTGCCACCAGGGAAGGCCCTCAATGTGGTTTTAATATGCATTTCCTTGATTATAAGGGATGTTGAACATTTTTTCATATGCCTGTTGGCCATTTGCATTTCCTCTTTGGAGAAATGTCTTTTAAGTTCTTCTGCCCATTTCTTGACTGGATTGTTTATTTTGTTTTTGTTGAGTAGTGTGAGTTCTTTGTATATCTTTGTGATCGGTCCCTTATCAGTTGACTGGGGTGCAAAGATTTTTTCCCAATCAGTGGCATGTCTCTCTGTTTTGGTTAATGTCTCTTTTGCTGTGCAGAGATTTTCAGTTTGATGTAATCCCAGGTGTTTATCTTTTCCTTGACTTTCTTTGCTTTGGGTGATGAGTCTTTAAAGATGTTATTGTGATGTATGTCTTGTAGTGTTTTATTTATATTTTCTTCTATATATTTCATGGTTTCAGGTCTTATGTGCAGTTCTTTTATTCATTTTGAGTTGATTTTTGTGCACGGTGAAAGATATTGGTCTAGTTTCTTTTTCTTTTTTTTTTTTTTTTTTTGCATGTGGTGGTCCAGTTTTCTCAGCACCATTTGTTGAATAAACTGTGTTCCATTGCATATTCTTTGCTCCTTTGTCAAAGATCAGTTGTCCATATAAGTGTGGTTTTATTTCTGGGCTCTCTATTCAGTTCCATTGGTCTGTGTGTCTGTTTTTGTTCCAATACCAAACTGTTTTAATTATTATGGCTTTATAGTATAGCTTGAAGTTTGGAAGTGTGATACCTCCTTTCTCCTTTGTTTTCATCAGTAGGGCTTTGGCTATTCATGGTTTTTTTTTTTTTTTTGTGGTTCCATATGAATTTCATCAGTTTTTTGTTCTATTTCTTTGAAGAATGTCATTGAGATTTTTTATTGGAATAGTGTTGAATCTGTATATTGCTTTTGGTAGGATGGGCATTTTAATAATGTTAATTCTTCCAATCTATGAGCAGGGGATGTCTTTCCATTTCTTTGTGTCTTCTTCTATTTCTTTTAACTGTGTTTTATAATAGTTGGAATAATTTTGATCTTCATATATCTGTTGATGTTTGTCTTGTGGCCCAGTATGTGATTGATTCTGGAGAATGATCCCTGTGCGCTTGAGAAAAATGTGTACTCGGATTTTTTTGGGTGCAGTGTCCTATAGATATCTGTTAAGTCCATGAATTCTATGTCTTTATTTAGGGCTGTAGTGTCTTTATTTATTTTTTGTCTCATTGATCTGTTCATTGGTGAGAGTGGAATGTTGAAGTCTCCCATTATATATATATTTTCTTTAATGTCTGTTTTCAGAGCTCATAATAACTGTCTAATATATTTTGGTGCTCCTTCATTTGGTGAGTATATGTTGATGAGTGTTATATCTTCCTGATGCATTGTCCCCTTGATCATAATGTAGTGTCCGTCTATGTCTCTTTTTTCTTTTTTTAATTTGAAGTCTACTTCAGCTGATATAAGTATTGCTCTTCCTGCCTTCTTTTGGTCCATTTGCTTGTAGGATTGTTTTCAAGCCTTTTACTTTCAGTCCGTGTTTATCTTTTGTGGTTAAATGTATTTCCTTCTCCGGGTATTTTAATTCCTGCTTTAATTTCCTTTTTGACTCCTCTACATTATATAATTTTGGTGTCTACCTCCGCTATAGGCCTCTCTTATTAAGTGTAGCAATGGGAGAGGACTAAGTTTGAGATAGAGTTCCAGCAAGGATTTGTTCCCTTCTCTGTTTAAGTATAGAGTATTGTCCTAAGGTGTTTATTCCTATTGCTAAGGCCCAGATACTCTAAATTCTAATTGATGGCATTGTGAACCTAATTTGTTATCTTGACTTTGGGTCCCAGCTAGGGAAAGTCACAAGTTATAGAAAAGAGCCTCGTCTGTATGAAGGCGGAGGTGAGCTTCTCTAGCCTTCCCCACTCCAGCCTTCCCCACTCAAATACTGGAGCTGCAAGTTCAAGCCAATAGTCACCATCTTACAGAGGTCCAATACCAGCAGCTACCAAGACTATTCACAGTCCTTCAGCTCCCCTGTTTAGGGCTATGGGGGGTCTCACTCTGGCTCTGGGTATATGGTTGCTATCCAGTTGTATAATTTCTGCCTTTGTGCATGTCACCTATTACTCCAGGGTTCTATCACAGACCTCTGCTCCCCTACTCCTATAGTCTCTAAAGTTAGAACCCTCGGTCTTATATACTCACTATTTGCACCCCTCTCTCCAGGAAAGCCCCTGATTCTAAAGTTCTCAATGTGGGCATGAGGCCTTCCATCAACAATAGAGAGACTCCATGCCATAGCCCTCTACTCTCTCATGCATTGCAGCTGCCCAGTATCATGCCAACAGCAATATTTCAATTTTCCCTACCCTCTTTACTGTGTCATCCCTCTTTATGCATCTGGTCATCCTTCAGGGATAATTGTCTCTGTTTACATATAATTTGTTTGTACATATTTGGAGGAGGCAAGTCTGGTTTCTTCACTCTGCGACCATCTTGCCAGGTTCCACCTTTGATCGTTGAATGTGATTTTTCTTCAACAACCAAACTCCTAAATGACATTCAGTCTTTCAGAAAAGAATATCTCCTATGGGGCCTCCCTGGTGGCTAGGAGTTAAGTCTCAGCACTGTCACCACAACAGCCTGAATTCAATCCCTGGTCAAAGAGCTAACCCACATGGCGCAGCAGACCTCCTCCTGTCTCACCCACTGCTCCCCTCAGCAGTGTATTTCAGGAAATCTGCCTGTTCTGCTCCCCATTCTGTCTCTGGTGAATCCTCTCACTCCTGCCCCTACTCACCCTGCATCTCTGGCCTATACCCCAGTTCTTCTACGCAAGTTAAAAAAAAAGAAGAACTCCAATGCCTACACCAGTACCAGCTATAAAGATTCCTTGAAAGAGTTCAAGGCAATTAATTTAATAACCAAAAAAGTAAGAAAAGCTACTGCACAGACACTTAAAAAACACCACTTACCCTCCGAGTAACAGTTGGATCTCGCTGTGCTTTGGAGATGAGGTGGCCAAGAAGGGTGTTGGTTCGGAGAAAACGCAAGCGGATGTTTGTTGCCTGGGTGAACTCTCTCAGGGTATTAGAGAAAGTAAAGTTTCTTGTACCTGGGCGGCCATTTACCAAGGATACCACAACCTAAGAGTACCACACACAAAATTTACCTGCAAGCAACTAAAAATAACTCACATGCCCCAAAGCCTTTGGTTTCTTTGAGTCATCAGATATTTGTAGGTGGTCATGGGTCTTGTTTATGTCTAAAAATATCACTGCTAATTGCATCTTCCCTCTGAATTCTGGCAATCTGTCCTTAAACCTGAGCTCTCAGATGTTTTCATTTCATTTTCAAAATCTTTGTACAATCAGTGTAGTTGTGGACACTAGTGCTATGAAATGTTGAAAGTAAAATGTTAAATCTATAACTGTAAGAAAACATTTTTGTCAAGTTGCATTAAAGAACCAAATCTAAAGTAATTTAAAAAAGTCTAAATTAGGAATAAAGGAAGTATCTGGATTAAAGTTGGCAAGAAGAGGACAAAAAACTGTGTACAAAACCCAGGTTTTGTTTTAAGGTGATAAAATCCAAATCCCAATCATCTGTGATATGAACTATGCACTAATCTTTGGAAGAATCAGGACAGAGCTGCTCAAGAAAGATCTCTCTGTCTATAAAAGGGAAACTTACACCCTTTAAAGAAGTTTATTTGAGAGCTATTTTATGCTTGCTATGGCCTCATAATTTCCACGAACTGTCCTCTGATTCTCCGCAAGTCTTCATTCACATAGTCTGCTGACTGCACAGGGCCAAATGCAACCTAAAGGGATAGCAAATATTTTCTCCCCAATAGATGCCACCTTGTCCAAAGGGACAAGGGATTGATGCTGCCACCCACCCCTCATCTCCTCACCCTTATGGAGATAATGAACTTATGAACTGGTGGGAGGAGTCTTTACTTCAATCACCAGCACCCCACTTTCTAAACACACAGAAAGGAGATCTCAAGAACTGTGAATCTTTAATTCCAAATTCTGATTTCCTAGAGAGAATTCAAGAAGCCATATAGAATTTCTGACCCAATTCCTCTGGAAGTCCATGATGTGGGTCTTTAGTGTTTGTCCCAAGGACAGGTTTCCATTTTGACCTATGTTAGACCTCCTTAAAAATGCAAGCCTCACAATGATGGAAAATCTGACATCCTCATGGTCACTTCTGTGTCTTCCCTCTCACAGCCTCCCAAATCTACTTACCTCACCATTTTCTAAAGGTACGATCCGGGAATAATCAGTCGTACAAAGTACATCATCATCTCGGGTGATAACTTTATTTGCCTCCCGCCCAAATTGCTCCAAACAGTCTGCTTTAGAATCTAGGAAGGGAACATTTTCATATTATAAGATAAAATATTATCATCTTGTAAGTAAATCTCTAAAGAAATCATGTTTCTGTCAGAAAATACAGAAAAAAGAAAAGAACAGAGGAGGGTTTAAGATTTTTATGCAAAAACTTGAAGTTTTAATTCATGAAAGAAAACACCAAGTCATGTCAGGCAACTTGACTTTCAACAGCAGTATCTCGAAAAGTGGTCCTAAACCCTCAATCCTCATTATGCAAGCTGACCCTCTAAGGAGCATTGATGGAAAACCCCATGCCTTTGTAAGGATTGTTACTGTCCATCTCAATTCCCCATAAGGCCCATAGACACTGATATTCTTCATTAGTGAAGATGACTGGGTCAAGGTAGGTGATGTCCATAAAGATGGAATTTAGTTCCTAATCCTTCATAAAAGGAAGAGGACAGGATGTACGGCCCAGTTATAGGTATACTGCATCCCCCCAAAAAAATGGGAGAGCTGCTATATCAAAAAAGACATTTCAACTTCAGTTCTTCGTGTGGTCCTTAGAACTGGTACAGACACATTTGAGAAATGGGGATGTTCTGAGGGTAACCCAGAAGGTTAAACCTGACCAGTCCCAAACAAACCATACTGAAACACTAAGTTTCTAATTAAATCCATAATCTTGATTTGCTGCAAGCAGTTTAAGCCCCTTAAACATGGTAGGCAAGATTACTTACGGGCAAAATATTGCCAGGGTGAGTAGGTGTTCCCAAAGTCTACAGATCTTTCCAAGACCCAAAGATCAGGGCGAGGAGAATTTGCAAATTTGATTAAAATATAGGCCACGTGGAAGAGCTGAGAAAACAAAACAGATACAATCATTAATATTACATCATGTGCAGCATGGTGACTATGATTAACAATACTGCATTGTATGTTTGAAAGTTCCTAAGAAGATAGATCTTAAAAGTTCTTATCATGGGCTCCCTGGTGGCGCAGGTGGTTGAGCGCTGCACTGTGAAGCTGTCCGCAGTCTCTGCAGCGCGGATTCGATCCGGCCAGCCAGCAAGAATCTCACATGGCACAGCAGACCTCTCCTGTCTCACCTGCTGCTCCCCTCAGCAGTGTATTTCATCAGTCTGTCTGTTCTGTTCCCTGCTCTGTCTCTGGTGAATCCTCTCACCCTTCCGCACCTCTGGCCTGTACCCTGGTTCTTGTATAAATAAATCTTAAAAAAAAAATAGTTCTCATTACAAGAAAAGGTTGTCATTACATGAGGTAATGGACATTAACTAAGCTTATTACAGCAGTCATTTATAACCGATACAAATATCAAATCATTAAGTTGTACACCTAAAACTAATATGATGTTATATGCCAATTATATGTCAGCAAAAATAATTGTTTTAAATAAACACCTCATTTACCCACAGCTTTGATCATTTCTATTTGAAGCTGATTGCTGAGGTCCTACATCTAGCACTATTTCTCCCAAGTTAAAAAGCCCTATTTCAAACTGTCCATCGGCCATCTCTACTTGGGTACACCCTCTCAAGCATAATGCGTTCAAACCAAAACCTTTCTCAACCAAATCTATACATTAATCTCCATTTTTGTTATGCCTTAATCACTAGGCCCTTGAATTTCAAAGAGCTTACAGGCAGTGTGATGTCTGTACATTCAGTGAAATCTGATGTCAAGCAACAGTCACCGCGTGCTAAGCCCTTCCAGGACCAAGAGCCAATAGTACAGCCAGGGTGTCTCCCAGGAGTCATGGTCTGACTCCAGGTCTTGGAGGGCTCACAGCTGCAGAGCTGAGCCTGCAAAGGCTGATTGCTGCGGTGCCAAACCTCCTTTTCCTGCACCACTCCTCTTGTCTCCTCTTCTCCTGATTGCTTCCCTCCTATTAATTTTCTTGTTCACCCACATACTCTTTTGCCCATGGCTAAGACAATGCAAGAGTACGACAGTGAAGAAGTGGGATTTCAGTCCTGCTTTCTTCATCTTCCCATTCTTCAACTCCAAGATGCCTCCTCTGAATTCTTGTATTCTACTCCCCTCTTCTCTCAAAATGTATCTGACTTGAATTTTGAATCTTAAAAGCCTATATATTTCCCAGAGTCCAGTATGACAATGCACAAGGGTGTGAAACAAATCTATGTTAACATGAGCAAGGCTATATCCACTCCCCCACACCCACTCCACACTCCCTGACCCAAAAGGACATATTCAGCAGTGACTTTTGGAAAAGGACTCCCCATGTCTCCCAGCAAACCCAGCAGGGCCATTTGAACAACAAGCTCATCTAGGTAGGGAGAGAGGCAGTCCTCAGACTCCTGGGGATCCTTTTATTTCATAGGGAAAGAATAAAGGAGTTTTACCTTCATATTTTTCATATACAATAGTATGGTGAGCATCCTTTTTTCAAGACTCAGAACTCTTAGCTAATGTAAATATTCCAAACTCAGTACTAGAAGTCAAAATATCTAGGACAATGGTTCTCAAACTTTTTGGTCTGAGGAGCTCTTTACACTTAAAAAATTATTGAGAACTTCAAAAATCTTTTGTTTGTAGGGTCATGTCTATTAATATATACCAGATGAAAATTTAAATATATATGCTATTAAAAATAAAACTATACTCATTAATTGTTAACAAATACCATATTTTTATGAAAAATTATGAAGTTTTCCCAAACATAAAAATTTTAGTGAAAATGATGGCTTTGCTTTACATTTTTAAATTTCCTTAAATAGAAAACAGCTGAATTTTCATGTCTGCTTCTGCATACAATCTGCTATGATACACTGATCTAGTTAACGTAGCTGACAGAAATCTGCTTCATGTTGACCTTAAAGTTTGAGAACCTCCTGAAAGTTCCTGGGGACCCCCCCCCCATGGCTTCTCAGTCACACTTTGAGAACCACTTGTCTTGGTCACAGAGATTCCCTTTGCTCCAAGAAGCCCCTATGTTTATGTGCCTGTGGAAGAATCCCCACACCAACTACTGAAAATCCTAAATTCAGTCAATTCTGTCTCAAACATTGGTCTTTGATCAAAAAAAAAAAAAAAAAACGAACAAAAAACTGCCACTTGCATTCAGATTAATGCTTCCAGCTTGTCTACTAATTCTCAAGGGGAAAGGATTCAACCTCATTGAGAAAAAAAAAAGTAGGAATTACTCTGAAAACCATAAAGCAGTATCTAAAGGTAGGAGAAATTATTCCAAAAGACAAATACAACTACTATGTGGTGAAAGAACTCATAAGAAATCTAAGAACTCTCAGTTTGGAAAATCAGAACATACTTCCTTTAAAACTGCACATCCTTGTCATCTTTCGAGCAGCCTCTCTCAGACCACACGTAAGAGTTTTTAGATATATAAGATAGAATAAAAATGAAACATTTTTGATACAGGAATCATTCAAAGCATTCTTAGCCTCTTCCATCAAAATCCTATAATCATAGCACTGTCTACCTCTCCCCGCCCACAAAAAACCTATTCATTTAATAATTCATGAGTTATTGATTGCTATGTTTCAGGTACTATTTTAACTAATTCACAAACATTCTCACATTTAGACCTCACAATAGAAAGTAGGATTTTATGAACTCCACTTTACAGATGAAGAAATGTGGCCTCGAGGGTTAAGGAATATGCCTGAATCTTGCAGGGTAAATGTCCAGAGCTGGTGCTTTTTCTACTCACTGATGCTGAACTATATACCACACAGCCTAATAGGTACTTAATGTTTGACCTGTTCCACCCTGGGGAAAATAGTTGCCAGAAAAGTTCCAGACATCACTTACAAGTATGCCAATATTTCATTATAGGAAGCCCACAAGCTAGCATACATCTCGAGGGTTATTTGAGTACAGTTTTGCCAAAGCTGCAGGTTCTGCTATTGGAAATCCAAGAAAATAAAATCACCTCCATGACTCAGACAGGAGCCTCCCTTGTTTCACTTCATCCTGTTCTGAGATAATGTGTGACCCCTTTGAAGCAGCACAGCAGTTAAAAACCCCCAGTCTAGCAGCAGCTGGAGACGGGCCCAGGGGTGTCCTCTGCTTGCTCTATGAGTCAGCCACACAGACCTAATTTAATAAGCCCACTAATTGCACCACCTCATCTGCAGCATCCGTCACCCAAGACATCATTCCACTTCAAAATGCGACCCTTTTTATCTTAGGAACTTGTCTCTGAGGTACCTCCACACACATGACTGCTGGCAGCAGCAGTTCATTTTCTCTGAGTCCTTTTACACTGACAGACTGTTTTCTCATCACCCCCACCATCGAGTGACTTGCAGTCTATTTTTGCCAAGTGTTTCAGCTTTGCAGCAAATCCTTTCTGAGATTTGAAGATTTAAATTGTCTCTTCAAGACCTCCAAAGTGTGTTCACAGCCTGGCCCAAGCCCATTAAATGGAAAGGTGTGGATTTATCCCCTTCTGTTTGATAATTTAAAATAATGTGCCTTTTCAATGGCTCCTTCTGTTAAACGCTTATCAATTACTTTTGTTTGTTCACTGCTTATTCAAAATATTTCAAAGCATTCATGCTGCCTGAGATTCACTAATGTACATGTGTGCCCCTTATGAAGGTAAAAGGCGCCAAGCTATGGAATCCTGAGAAGCAGAAAAGCAAAGGCAAAGTTATGTATTTTCAGAGAAACAACACTTGGGAATCAAAGATACAGAGGAAAAATTGACCAAAAAGGATTGAGTTGTAACCCCTTCTCCAAGTGCGCTTGGAGCAAATTAACGGTGGTTTCAATATTGTTCATGATCATTTATTCCAGAAATGTAAAGTAGTATTTTGAATAATGTTTTTTTTTTCCAATCTTAAAAGATTTATTTATTTATTTATTTATACAAGCACTGGATACAGTCAGAAGCGCGGGAGGGTGAGAGAACTCACCAGAGCCAGAGTGAGGAACAGAACAGGCAGACTGAAGAAATACACTGTTGAAGGGAGCAGTGGGCACAGCAGGAGAGGTCTGCGCTCCATGTGGGACCCTCGCCTGGCAGCCGGGGATGGAACCAGAGCTGCAGAGGCTGCTGGCAGCTTCGCAGCCCAGCGCTCAACCACTGCGCCACCAGCAGAGGCCCTTGAATAATGTTTTAATGAAGCAGATAATAATCATAAAAGGTGGTATATGAGGCACTTTGACTTCAAAAGTCTTTAAGATGAAAGGGGGCGGAGCAACATGGCGGCGAGGAGATGCTGCGAGTAAGATCTCCCATTAAAAAAAGTGAATAGGGAGGAAAAGCGGCAGGTCCCAGTGAGAAGTGGGACACGGAAGATAAACGGGTGACGCCAGCGAACTGCCCGAAGAAGAAACTGGCCATAAAAGAGGACCAGAAGGGAGGGAAGCGCAGAACCCTGCTCCCCTCCCCCGCCCACAGAGGCGGCACTCTCCGACCGGCAGAGAGGAGGAAACAACAAACCAAAACGACCCACAAGAACAAACGACGCGGCAAGCGGGACTGTGAGTGGAAAGGAACTATTGCAGCCACCACACCCCGTGAACGGGAGCTGAGGCGAACCCTGCAGGATCCGCCGCGGCGGTGAGCGAATGGCTCCTGGCGCCATTAGAGAAGAACAAAGACCCCGGAGACGCGCACACAGCCCGGGCTGCCGGTAAGCTGGCACGGAAACGCGGCGCGCTCGGGAGCTTGAAAAGCAAGTGCAGACCTGGATCGCGGCTGCCCAGGTCCCCGCGCCTGCGACCTAGGCTTGCGGGGAGACGACCTAGGCTTGCGGGGAGACGCACGGAGGTCCTCACTGAGGTGAAGGTCCCTCCCTGAGTGAGCAGGAACCAGGCGCCCAGGCACGGGAGCAGTGCAAAAGGCG